ACGCTTTTTTTAAATGTTACAATTGAATTGAAAACAGACAAGATTCGGAGTGTATTATTAAACATGGTTTTTGGCCCCAGCAGTTTTTGTTGAACAATCACATCATTCTCTTCGCGGAATGAAGGCTTTGGTGTGGATGGCTTCACTTCTTTCCTTTGTGGGGACTGTGTGGGCCCTGGCCGCGGGCTGACCCCCTGAGGGTCTACTTTTTAGTGTCTTGCTTAGTTGATTTTTGTTTAATTTAATATCCTTTGTTTTGTCATGAAGTTTAGGAAATGCCCCAAAGAAATCATGTTGGCTTCCCATGATAAATATGTCCGTGACCAAAAGTCTATGTGGTGCATCAGTCAATGTTGCAAGCTCAAGAATCGATTGCTTAGGGGGTTCGACGTAACCATTGTGTTTTTGAATCACGGGATGGCCGTTTCGTTCCAGTAACGTCAGATGCACAGTCGGTGGGTGTCTGTCAATCGGAATGTGCACTGGTTGGTATGAGGTGGACCATCTTGCGATGCGCCGGCGGCTACCATTGCTGCCATTGCAATTAATGTCCTGGCCTTGGCATGAACATCAAACGTCTGGTGACCGGAATGGAATTGCAGAGTCGGAATCATGCTTCATGACGATGTGGCTGCTCCACATTATTATTCCTTTGAACTTCAACAGCTGAAAACTAATGGTGCCCAGTCATAGTAATCTTGGACGATGGTTTCTCATTGTGAATCATCATGCCACCTGAGTTGGTTTTGATTTGGCAGTGACTTGGAAATACATAATAATAATTATATAGTGAATTATCATCATTGGTGTTCCGTTGAGGCCACATGATGCCCTTCAAGACCCATTGCGTTATTCAGGCCACATCCAACTCCATTCAAGACATGTGTCATTTCAACTGTTGCTGTCTGGCAGAAAGCTTGAGATATGACATTTCTGAGCAGTGTGTGGTTTGTTTTTTTTTGGTTGTGGTTCACAGGAGGCCACCACCCCTTGCTATACCCACGTCGTGCTGTCGGCGACTGCATTGCACGATGCATGGGCCTCACTTCAACTTGTGGACCGATTCCCGATCTTCATCGTTTGATTTGTTTGGCAAGACTCGGGGTCTTGCTGTATCATTCTGATACTATTAGGACTATAGTAGTTGTTATCATAAGACATAAAATATATGTACATTTGATTGAACATTAGATTATATAATATACCGATATTCTTGCGCGCTTCTGTTTTGAGTCACGTTGGCTCAACAGTCAGCGACAGCAAACTGACCCAAAGGTGTTGATGGCTCAGTGACGTGTGCAGGAATTGGAGTTGAGCCATGCCCATGCAGTTTCTTTGTAATGTGCCCTTCTCATTCTGTTCAGGTGGAAGCACCGGTTCACGTTCATGTCATTGCACGCAGCCGCAACTGCAGCTGTCTACTTAGTCTTGGTCTTGCCTGTTCCTGGTTCAATGCATTTCTTGGTTATTAGTTATGCTAATCGTCAATGAGTGTGCTCTTTTTGTCATTTGCTTGAGGTGTATCGATGGCTAACTTTCTATTTCATTTTCCCGGCCCATCGCAGGGAGCTTGGGAAACCAAAGGCTAAACACTGAAGCTGTCAGCATCAAGTTTTTTTTCAGTGATTGGAGGGTTGTCCAATTTATGATCATTATCATTAGCCATGACATGCCACCCCACCTACGTCAAGGTGCGAACCGGGTCAATTTGCGCTGGTGTGGAGGACGCATATGCGGGCTCTTCGTTTTGATGTGAGTCACTGAGTTCAATCATTGCCTAGGTACATCATCCCATCATCATTGACACGAATCGATGAGCTTTCCCGGCTTTTCTGGCTTAGTGTTTGAGTTTGGGCTCCGTGTGAAAGCCTTTTTTTTTGGTTCCGGTGAGCTATGGATGCTGAATTGCTTCGGGCATCGTTGGCCGAGTTGGAGGCCCGGGCCAGAGATGGAGCTTCGGACGGGGACTTGCATGCCATGAGGTATGCTGTCGGCCACATCTTAGACCAGAATCCTCAGCAGCAAGACCAGAAACTTGGGCTTGTTTCTCCGGGTTTTTCTTTACTGGTTTAAACGATTGACACTCACTCGCAGCATCAAAATTGTAATTATTCAATTCAAGCCAAATTCAACACACAATATTATTTGGCTTTAAGTTGCAATTATAAAGGTCAGGGTCGTAGTGAAAAAGATGCCAACCCCAACTACGCACCTGGCGTTTGCGCGCAGCTGTGACGGGGGTGGTTCTCAGTTGTTTGTAAAAATAATTCCCTTCGTATCAGTCTGTCGGTCTGAGGTATTTGCAGCCGCGTGAAAATGCAGATGAACGTCACACAGGCGGCTTCCTGGTTGACTGGAACAAAAGATTCTTTTCTGCTTTGCTCATGTGGCTTGGCTACCAGAGCTGCCATTTTCGTCATGGCATTTGGTTTCGGAAGTGCAGTGAACTTTGTTGCTGAAAAAGATGATTCTGTTTAATGATAATATATATATATTATATAATAAGTCCGATGGTGGGTATTTATGACAACTAATTATTTAATACACACGCTTTGACTTTGACGTATGCTGCGGTTCATTGCTAGCTTGGATTGGAATCTGAATCATCATTCAGTGGCCCTGGGTTTGTTGCAAGAATCCAATCTTACAACAAGCTGAGGCATGCAGGCCACGAGCTCGAACAGTGTGTCCAGGAAAAAACTTTAGAGTTTATCGCAAAGTACAAGGATTTGGAGACAGCCAGCAGAGCTCTCAATGCCAGCTACATGAAGAGTGATGGGTTCTACCCCATAGTGCACTTTAAATTTCGCGGCAGAGATGTTCAGTGCCAGCTCAGCCACCCGCCATGCCCAACCGCCCCTCATCCGATTAGAGACAAGAAGGTTCGGTTCATTCAACAATGGTGCGTTTTTGTTGGTCCAATTGAAAACGTAAATTTGGATGAATGTTGGGTTCTTTTAATAAGCCATTTAACTGGGACAATTGGTTTCGATAAATTAACTATATTATAATTAATATTATCATTATTATAACATTAAGCTGCACCTCGTTCGGTACATTTTGGGGGCGCGCCCTTTTCTGCCCGTATGTTGGTATTTTATTGAGCAAAAAGGGCGCGCCATTTAGAGGGTATGTTCCAACGCTTTAGGTTTGTGGTAACCGCAAACGGAAACCAACAACTGTTGTGATGTTTTTGAAATCCATTTGGGAACTTTTCCGTGGGATTTCAGCCGCCAAATCCAGGGGTTCATTTTGGGAACTTTTCCGGCCCACCGCTGGGGCCTTTATTGGGCCATCGTTTGATTGGGCTACTATGTTGGGCTGGCTGGAGGTTATGTTGAACCGTTGGGGCTTGGTAAATATTTCACATAATCTTGGGTTTGTTTCTGAAAAAGGCGCCAATCAAATGTCTGTCAAATAATATGCTTAATTCTTTGAAAACGATATATGATAATACATTACATGTAAGCAAAGTGGTGTCCGAAAGTAGGTCGAACCATTTTAAACAGAAAAGCAGTCACCTTCCTTCATGTCTTGCTTCTACACAATCCAACTTTTTGTTAGCTTTTTTCCAAGGGGATGGCAAATGGTCAGCTGAAGGGTGCCATAAGGATGCTTAAGGCACCCTTCGTTGTGGTTCCCTGTTGTGGTTCACAAGTCCAATTGAATGGAGATTATGTTTGTTAATGTTTGGACAGAAAACTGGTCAGATCCGAGCCCTTGATGAGGGGCTTGGATTTGAAGGTGTTTTCGGAGCTGTTGGTCTTTCGCATCAAGATTGCGCATATGTTTTGGTTTGAAGCTCTAAAATTTGATCCGCACATCTGGGCTTGAAAAAAACATTGCAATTCAACATGGCCCACAATATTGCTTTGATTTTCATAGACTGTAATTATTGCCCCGATCCATGATGCCCGGGACCAGGATGGAGAGAATGATATGATTTTCTTCGTGAAGGTGAAAAATGGACAGCGTGGCATTTGCTGCAACATCAGTGCCATGTACATTTGCGATGAGCAGCATGGAATCTCCGTCCTCGCTTGAGACTTCTGATGACACGGATCTGGATTCCGTTTTTGAGTATTTGATAGTTGGACGTGAATTGAGGCTTGGATTCGACAGACCTGTGCGGACAAAAGGTAGAATCAAACGCAATCAGCAACGCCAAACGTATCAGTGTCAGCCACTTGATTCATGGAGATTCATCCCCGTCATCCATCATTGAATTCTGTCTTACACTTCGCAGTTGTCATACTACCGTGATTTTTTGTATGAATTAATTATGATTGATTTCCCACACCGCTGGACCACACACTGTGCAGTTACAATGACAGGGACTTCGATTCAATCAAAACGTTTTCTTACACCACAGCTCGGTGTGCAGGACACGAGGTAGCTCAGACAGATCCCGTGACATAGTCATTGCGGTCAGAATCTCAAGGGTTTGGTCACCCGACTGAAGAACAAAATTGCGTTTGATTCTTTGTGCCACTTTGACGTGTGGCTTTTGAACACATGTGTCGGTGTACGTTCAACTGCTGAGCTTGCTACATACTATTGGATTGGAAGTTATTTGGCTCAGGTTCTTCAGGTTTGCGTTCGTTTTGTGGACCTTATGATTGCACGGTGCCCAGTCAAATGGCTTGCGTATTTCCCAATTCAGTGACAACAGCTCCACCGGTGATGATGTCAACAACCCTATAATGGTTTTGAAGAGAACAGTTTTCAGAACATAATGTCGGCCTAAATGTGTGAGATCTCATTGGTAAATTATATATATTATATTTGACCGTTGCTGCGCTGGTGTCAGTTACAGTTGCGTTGGACATGTGTGTTTTCATTGCCATCATCACACACATTTGTCTGGTGGCTGCCTCAAGTGACTTTGATCGACCGTGAACCTCAGAGCCTCGAATATGCCGCTGAGCAATGACGGTCAGTTTGCCCTGACGTGCTGGCTTCTGAGATGGATGTTAAAAGACGAAAGAAACTTTGAGGCCATGGAATCGGTGAGAGAGGGCATCAGATCCGTTCTTACCGGATGTGGTCTTCGACCTTCTTTGGATTCCTTGGTGACGATGTGGTGTTGCATCACCAGTGCGCAGATCTCGTATCGTGCGAACCAAACCCCCAAGGACTTCGACTTTGTTGTGACCAGCATTTTGGGTGCTGCGCCCAACCAGAAGTGTTATGGACTTCGGAACATTGCTTCCTACCCTTGGGCCAATCACCTGCTCTCTGAGCTCCCCAAGAGCCAAAAGACGATGGATGAGTTTTGTGACTGCATTCCAAGGGAGCATTCTGAACTTAGGGCTGTGCTGGATGATTGTTCGTTACTTTTCAACGATATTATCACTATCAATGTGCGTTGCAGAACGTAATTTGTGGTGATGTCACAAGTAATCATCGCCGGTGTCAGCTCATCCTGTTGAAAAGAAAAATGGATGTGCCTGAGTGTGTGTGATGCAGACCGCCAATCAATTCAATGAAGTTGCTTGTAACTTTTCAGATTTCACTGTGATTTGGCAGAACCTTTTCTTTGAGAAGCTGTCCCATGAAACACGCTGGTGGGATTATCGGAGTGCGCCATGTGATGGTCGAGCCATTCTTCAAAGCTGTCAGTTCAGTTGACCAGCATGTTAAACAAGACGGATGCTGAAGCTTTGTTGCCTGATTGACCCAATCATTTGTTTGGTGCCTGGGTGTGTTTTGGGCTTGGATTCAAACTCAGGGTAGTCTTCTCGCTGAGCTGCACTTTAGTTTCGTCGTTGGTGGCATGATGGTTCCACGCATCCGCGCTTCGAAGCGGCAAAGGGTGGCCCAGCAGCAGCAGCAGCTGTTCAATCCAATGTTAGCAGCTGCGGCCATGGGACAAATGGGCATGAACCCGGCGGTGATGGGATTGATGAATCCAACCATGCCAATGGATCACAATGATGAGTCCGACAATGAGGATATGCCCCTGTCTCAGTTGGTTGCGGCTGGTCGGCCCAATGCTGATGGAACTGCAGCAGCTTCTCAAGCCAAAGCATCTTCAGCTGCCGCGCCTGCCGATGCTGCAAACGGTGAAGCCTGTGCATCAGATCCCGCTGCTGCGGCTGCCAGGCAAGCATGGGCTAATTTGAGCAGGGGTCGCGCCGACCTCTATCACCATGGTGGCCGTGAGGATAGGCGAATCAATCGTGGCACAGCAACATTCAGAGCGATGCCCAAGGCTCGGCTTGGTGTGACAGTGAGACAGATCAGACCACACAGTGCCTTTATTTTGCTGATTGTTGCTTATTAGTAGTCCATCATGTGGCGAATCACCCGTCACTGTCACTTGGATATCTTCTAACATGCACAGCAAAGACTTTGAGAAACGGGCTCTGTGATTATTAAACTTGAAAAATGTGGTTGCATTCTTGAACCGCCCCAATTGTTGGTGGCGCTGTTTGCAATGCTTGCTGAAAATTGAAGTAAATAGTCTTAGGGAATTTCAAGTTTCTGGCAAAAGCCGCCACAGATTGATTGATACTCTGCTTCGGACTCACGTATTCGAAACTGTCACAAGAATATTTCACCTTGCATTGATTTGAAATTCTGCATTTACCATGCCACCCGGTCAGGTTCATCTCAGTGAGCTGGTCGAAGCGTGCGACAATGACCTCGATGCTGCCTCAACGGCTGATCTATCACAAAGTGGACTTGTGATGTTGTTCTGGTTGATGGTTCGCCTGAAGCCAACTGTCAGTGTTGGGTCACTGCGTGTTGGCTGGTACACGGACCTGAACACACTCTGCCGCAACAAGTACATGAAGCTTGTGGCCAATCCTGCCACCGGTGTTCAGGATGTCATGACGCAGATCAAGGCCCAGGCATCGCTGGATGATCAGTTCATTGACGCACTTTGTCAGACACAGGGTTGGGACCCAGAGTGGATGGCCGTTCCAGCCAAGGCGGGCAAAGGCAGGGGCAGGGGCAAAGCTGTGGCAGCTGGACCTCCACCAGGTCAACATGTTTTGCCTTTTCAGGCTGCCCCCCCGAAGGCCAGTCCTGTGGCTGTGACTGTGAATCCACCGGCGCCGGCCAAGGCAGCTGGGCAGATGGATGCAGGGGCCGTGACTGTGAATCCAGTTCCCCCCAAGATTGGGGCCCCCGGTGTGGGAGCCCACATCTCTTTGCCTGTGCCAGCGCCTGTGGCCAAATCGGGTTCCATACCGCCGGCCAATGCTGCAAATTCAGTGCCGGTTGCCAAAGCTTTGAACATTGCTCCAGCCCCCGTGCCACCACCGGCGCAGTTGGGAGGTGGGAATGGTGGAGGACAGAATCATGATGTTGTGGGGGAGCTGCTTCAGCCGGTGGGCTCCACCGATGCCACTTCTGACGAAGTGCTTGGTGATGGGCAGAATGCTGGGGCTTCGACTTTGGCTTCGTCAACCCTTGGGGCTGTCCCCAAAGCCGGAGGCTTGCCCGTTCCCCCCAACATTGCTGAGAATGCTGCTGAGACGGTGGAGCAAGACAATTTGGAAGCCGAATTGGAGCAAATCTTTGGTGTTTCCGAGACTGTTGATGATGGGACTGCGGTGGAGAAAATACTCTGCAGCATTTGCCAGGATGAGATCAAGCACCATCCAGATGCTGCCAATCCTGAAGAGGAAGTCTTGGCATTGCAGTGCGGTCATGTCTACCACAATCTCTGTTTGAGCAAGACCTGGAGCATTGGTGGCTGGCCCAGAGGATGGTGCCCACAGCGTTGCCTGGATCACATTCTCCTGGGCAACCGTATGGGTGGTGTTGAAATTGTCAATGACGCGCTGGCTTCTGGCGATGCACCTGGTGTGGCTGTGGAGCCCCCACAGGCTCCTTCCGCTGCCGCTCCATCATCGGGCTCCGGATGTGGTGTGCCCCGCACGGTTGCTGCTTTGTCGGAGCTGGCTGAGACCGTGGTTGTGAATGGCAGCAACATTGCGCTCTGAGCTGATCCGACTCAGTGGGGGAAGCCCTTCACAGTTTTTGGCGAATGTACCGTGTCATGTCAGCCAGATTTGTACCATAAATGATTTTAGATCTCTCATTCTGTTTTGTTTGTTTGTTGTTTCGAGTTTCGATGATTGTTTGATCTGACTTGCGCATCTGGTCAATTTGATTGATTGTTGGTGCATCCTTGGATGGCAAATGACATAATTGACAACACGTACGTATGTCTTGCTGTGTGTCAGTGTTTGTTCGACGTTGATCAGACACATCGTCGGCAACATCTTCTCACAGATCCAGACTTAGACTTTGATTGTCGGTCTTGGCAATTTGGGGTGGCGTATAGCTTTGCGCCCAAGTGATGATGTACCGAATCATTGGGGCTGTACCAAAGGCGGTGTTTTCACACACTTGAGATGTGAGATTGATTGTGCATTGTCGTTTGACGTGAATACATTGATACATTGTTTGTATTGTGCATTGTTTGGTAAATCACTGTGATTGAATCTTGCTTGAAATAGAATAAGAATAGCGACATATATATATATATATATTATATATAAATATATATTTACAATACAATATATTATATATATTATATATTTATTATATAATTTTAGATTTACATTTTTTGTTTTTTTTGCATTTTTTTGTATTTATTTTGCTGGATTTTGCATTTTTTTGCATTTTTTGAGCACATAGGCTATTTTTTGCATGTTTTTGCATTTTTTTGCTTGATTTTGCATTTTTTTGCATTTTTTGTGCAATTATATGTTGTTTGTTGAACGTTTTTTTTTTTTAATGTTTGATTTATAAATTAAATTGCTTAGAAAATATATTTAATTGTATATTATACAATATAGGTTTGAACCAGGATTCGATATCAATATACAATATTTATATACGGTATGGTGTACTGACTGTGATTTGTGTGCAATTACACGGCTGTGATTGACTTCATCAATGATGATGGCGTGTCAGGGACTGTCAGGATTCGTAGGAAGATGTTGCCAATGTTTGTTTGGTTGCCATGGCCATCGCCGTTGTTTCGGCATGTGAGACAGCGTCATTGCAAACGATCCAAGCCTCAAGCTGCAGCGGATCGATGCAAGGTAATGCCAACGCCCCTTCTTTTGTCGGGTGATACGGTATGTGAGGCAATGGTGGACAGTGTGAAGAATGATGTTGAACCGCCGGCTATGCCAATGTCCGTTGCGAATGATGATTTGGCGACAACATGTTTGGTTCCAAAAGAAACCTTAGCCGAGCGGGTGCAGATGATCTTGCAAGAGAAGAAACGTGTGGATGATGTTTTCAGAAAATCTGCAACGGAGATAGGGGTTGCCCATTTTCATTCCGTTGAATCCTTTCCGGTGGATGCTGCGGGAAACCTTTTCTTTCCAAAGTCAGCAGATAGGGATTTTGTGTTGAAGGCTGTGACTGAGTTCTTGCTTCATGACAAGAAGAAAAACTTTGGCAGAGCTGCATTGAGGTGGCCGCAAATCATTGCGACTGCTTATCCATGGATGCAGACCTGGTCGTTGCAAGACATGCTCCTGGCGCTGGTTGCAAGAACCTTGCATCACCGGGCAATGGGCCGTTCTTGGCTGGATGTTGTCGAATACTTTGCAGGAACTGCAAATTTGTCAAGGGCGGCCATTCAAAAAGGACATCGGGTTTGTGCGCTTGACAAGGACATTTCAGAGAGCCATGATGTGATGGGATCTGTGGAATCGATTCGACTTTGGCTGTCGGTTCTTGCAGCCACCAAAGAACATGCACTGGTCTGGCATGGAACGCCATGCAGTTCGTGGACCATCATGTGCCGTGCTGTGTCGGAGAGATGTGAATCAAACAATTGGCTTGGGAATGACAGACCATTTGTCACTGAGGGCAACACCTTAGCAGATTTAAGTGGCCTCACGATATTTTTGGCGTACATGATGAATTGCATTCCGGGCTTGGAACAGTCAGGTTCCTCAGTCATGGGCAAGTCCCCCTGTTTGAAAGGAGTTCTTACGTTCATTATGGCAATCTGGGTGAAGACCTACCATGGTTGCTTTGGTGGGAACTCTGAGAAACCGTTGCAGCTTTGGAGCAGCTCATCTTGGATAGAAGATCTTGCCAGATCGAAGCCAGACATGGGTGGATCTGGCGTGGGGCTGGTGTCGAAGTCTGAAGATGGAAGCTTCACGGGCATCAAAGACAAATTGAAAGCCAGTGAGAATTACACGCCATTGTTTGGGGCATCCATCATTGAGGCGTGGATGTGTAGATTTCGGCCCCCAAATTGAACAGAATCTGAATACCGTCCGCAACGCCAGACAGTGTTGTTCAATTTGAAGCCACTTGGTTATGTCCTGACTGTAAATTCATGTGTGCCATTAGGCATGACAGGAAGCATGTGTTGCTTTGATACCGTCGCTTAATTAGTATGCTATCGGGACTTTCTGTCTTCTGCCATGGGGTTGCAAAATGGAAGCATGTCGCTGATTATGATGGTTATTGCATGCAGTGGGTGCAGTTTCGTTTGGTGGTCAGTTGGATCAGCATTTCAAAGCAGGCAGCTTCATCGGATTGAACAAAAGTTGTTGGTCTGTTTTCTAAGAACTTTTGTTTGTGGGTTGGGCGGAGATTCTTCGTGAATGAAGGCATTAGTTGGCTGTTCAGAGTTCATGACGAATTTCTTTCCAGTTCAAGCTCATCAAATCTAGGCGGTGCGCGGGTTTTGTGAGATTCGCGGTGCCATGCCCTGCCATCCATTGAATCATGATGGTGATGTTGTTGATTCCAGCTCTGCAATTGTGTCCTCGGAGCATCGGCGAATCAACAAAAGAAAGAAAATTGTGGATATGCTCAGGCGGAGGTACAATAAGATTGTGCCGGAGTCAGAGCTTGATGCGATTCTACCCGATCCCACCGAATCCATGCCCAAACGAGCATGGGAAGTGAAGATGTTTGAAGCGAGGACGAAATTGTTGGACTTCTTAGATGATTTAGACGCGGATGAGCCCTGCTTTTTCATTTGAGTTTGCAAAAAACTCATTTATGACTATTGATTGCTCCTGCCAATTCGAGAGTTTCTGGCATGTAAATTTCTGGTTGATTCAGATCTGATTTGATCTGGGTTTGACAAATTCCTGCAAGTGCCGAAAGACATGTTGGCCAGCCATTGCTGATTCATTGATTGAGCCCACCGGATTTCAGTCTCGTTTGTAAATGCTTAGCAGGCTTAGCAGTTTTCCGTTGCAGAAACCCAGGACATTCAGACAGTCACATGATTGCGGTTGAGATGATTTTTTCTTTTTGAGCCAGGATGCAACTCCACGGTTGTAGACGCGATTCTTTTGATTTTCCATTTTGCCAATTGATACCGTCTGAAACCGGCCAAGGCGATGCAAATTCTCAACTTCTCAGTTGGACTCCTAAAGTATCGTTTGAGATGTGCATTTGAAAATTGCATGTGCATTATGCTGTTGCACAGTGTAGCCACAGGACATCTCATTGAATGGGCGCCACGGTATCGGATTGATTCTCAGACAGATTGGGGATGACGTTTCCAAGCAACTGATTTCTGTGCCAGGCTCAAAGCCATGTAGGGATTGTGCATCAATGACCCTGCAGATGCGGTTACAAAGACATTGATTCAGTTCAAGACAAAACATAGGTCTCAGATGGACAGATTCTTAAATTAAACATTTGACATTGGGTGTTGCGCAGACTGACTGTTACTTCTTGCGAATTATATTTGAGGTTTTGCCCCGCATGGTCGTTCTTTGGTTTTGTGCGTGTAGCCTTTTTTTGAAGATTTGCCATCCTGCGGGACTTTTGCCCCGCATGGCAGATGATAACCAGGATGTCAACAACTTTCTGCGCCATGACGATTGCCAGCAGTTGACATGTGATGAGGATGCAGTTTTGCCATCGAAGTGTGTTTACCTCAACGGTTCTGACCTTTTTTGGTCTGTGAGTTTTCTGTATGACAAAATGCGTGTTTGGGGAGAAACCCGTTCGCTGTACAAATGGCGTGTCTTTTTTCAACAAAGTCTTGAGCAGAGCGGACTTGTCACAGACTTATTCGTCTGTAGAACGCATTTCTTTGGTAATCATTTGCCCATAGATGCCCTAGATGACAACGTGGCTGATTCCAAAGCCGTCCTGACTTACTTTTACTTCATTGCCGAACACGGCCGCAAAGAATCGATTGTGCAACAAACATTACAGCTGCTTTGCCGCATCTGCAACAGGGTATGTGAGGCTTATGGATGTGATTCCCAGTTGAATTTGGACATTGTATTGGAAACGGGAAACCGATTGGTTGTGAACCCGCAGTCTGGTCTTGTGGAGGGACTGGTTGACGCCATATCTCAAAGACACCGGGCGGCGCTGCACGCCTGGATCAATGTGTGGACAGACATGTTCGATGCAAATTTGCTGACATGTTCGATGACAGAAGAGACTGAACAGTTGCCAGTCAGGGATGTGCTGATGTTTGCCTTTGGGGTCAACAGATTCCGCAAGCAGGGACGCAGGGCTCCATGGGATGAGACCACACCATCAGGTTCTGTGCTCCGTGCCCTGGTCAGGGCTCTGATCAATTTTGTCTCCGAAGGTTTGCTGTCTTACATTGTGGGGCATTATCAGGTTGAACATGATATTGGGAAAGCAGTGCCCTCTCGCAGGGTTTCTGGCGGGCCTGAATCAAAAGTCAGCATGTCCGCTGATTGCATCTGGGAAATTCTTCAACACGCAGGCCGCAGCAGCGTCAGTGCCCGGGAAGCCTTGGCGGTTATCGGGCCCAATTCGAGACTGTCATCAGCGGGTGGTTGCTCTGAGAATGCAGTTGACTCATGGATTCGCCGTTGGCAGAGCATATACGATGAGCGTGCTGCCTTCACCACTACAGGGGCCAAACACTTTAACATGGTGGCAGATACATCATGTCACAGTGGCAAAGACTGCCTTGTAACTGTGTTATGGTGCCACCAGAACAATTGCGCAATGTTTGCGCCAATTCAAGTGGTCCAGACCGGTGATTCCCTTTATGCTGGAGAACTTGATCTCACAAGCTTGGCGGAGAAGTTGGCCAAGGACGGGTTGGCGATTCCAATTTTTAATTGACAAAGCCAAGCCTTGAATAGAACAGTATGAAATCTCATTATACTATAGTGGAACATGAAGAGTAATATAATAATATAGACTATATTGTACAATATTATATCTTGATATGACATGAACTGGCGTCTTTTTTTTGAGATTCCGAGTCACTCATTATTTCGGACCCGGACCTAAGACTTTTTGCGCTGTGCGTCTGGTGTCAGGAGAACAAGTTGAAACGGTTGGCTGCGTACAATCAGTTACAGGCCCTTTCACATCAAATCAGCCTCCTGACTCGGGGGGCCTTTGACCTGGACAGCTTCACCCCGCCAGATGATCTTGTGATGACTCCCGTGAAACCTGGCCAGAAGAGGTTTCGCTATGTGGACCCAGACACAGGTGCTGTGCGTGCTGGTGTCCAGGCGCTTGAAAACGGTGAGCCGTCTGAGGTGTTCCTGCTCCCGGAAAGGATGAACTGGTGGCAGCAAATTCCACTCTTAAACTTGCAGCTTGATCAGGGTGCCATTGGTGCAGCAGGTGCTTCGTTTCCAAGATGAGCTTATGATGAGGGGTATTGTTTTCTCCAAGTAAATATGAGTCGGTCTGTTTACTGATACGAAATTATGCTCTTTATTTCCTCTTAGCACTTGACTTTCTTTTCTGATGTCTGGGGTTGCTCACTGAGGTTCGCCATTGACAAACTCGGTTGCTGCATTCAGACAAAATGGGACTTGTTTCATCGATGTGTGAACGACTGCAAACATAGCCTGGCCAAAGCTTGCAAGGGAGTCTTCCTGCAAGCCCAGATGCACTCGGCATATGTCTGGGCCATGTCCTACAGGCCGTTTAACAGCGGGGCCTATATGGAATCGAAAACCAGACTCCTAGAAGTCATGCTGGCGCGTGAGAATGCATGGACATGCCCTTTGTTTGAAAGCGTTTGGCAGGAAATCCGTGATGACATGGGCTTGCCCAGTACAACGACGCGAGATGGTGTCTGGGAATCTTTGGCTAGTTGTCCCACCTTTTTCCGGAAGGGTAGTATTGCCAAGCAGGGCCGCTGGTTCAGTTGGAATGATGTGGCGGAGGAGCAGATGGCAGAATTTCATGTGCTGAAGCTTGTGCTGGGATACCATTATGGATCTCAGAAGATCGATCCTGATTTGGCAGAGGAGCAAAAGACTTTATCGAGTTGTGTCAATCAGGCGAAGAAGGGTGGCGGTGATGTACAATCGCTTCGCCGTGAATTCTCAAAGATGAAAGAGAACTTGGGCGGGGGCCCCAAACTGTCCTATTACTGCATGTCCGAGAAGTTGTGGGTTCACTGTTGTTTGATACAGCTTGCAACACGGCCTGTCTGGACTTGGTACAGTGAGTCGGTCAAAAACATCAAGAATGCGGATGACTCTTTGGTGAATTCAATGCATCTACAGTCGGAATGGTCTGTAGATTTCCACTTGCAAAGCATCGCTGGCATTCCAACGTCCAAAGATCCGGTGCTTGTCAGACTTTTGAACCATGAAAAGTTTGCCACCGAAGTCCCAGATAAACTGATGTCTCTGATTTGCCATCTCTTAAAAAAGAGATGCTTTTCCATGTCCAAGCACAGTGCTCCACCTGACTGCTACTCTCAACTCTTGGCAGATGACACTGACGTGGTTCTCGACAATGTGGCTTTCCACGTTGAAGTTGAGGTGCGAATACCAGTTGTTCCATTTTAATGCGTTTCTCTTGGATTCAATGTAATGTAGGTAATTTTGACGGGTCGGGTTGGCCATTTAATCGCAGGTGTCTTGGTTTACTGTAGTCATTGCAGTCACTGGGGGAGCCCCCATTCCATCAACACATTTTAGTAGTATTTATTACCAAATGGAATTGTTAGAATTTCTGGCTGTGGTGGTGTGGTGTCTGTAAACTTCCTGTAGATGAATATACAATCGCATCTTTTTAATTCTAAATAAGTGCTAGTTTTCAAAACGTATTCAAAATTTAATTTCATCTACGACGAATCCAATTAGTATCTTTTATGGATCCGATTGGGAGCGCAGTCAAATTGACTTGCTTTGATCGCCAGGAGACGGCGGCAAGAATGAAAGAAGATTTTGAGACCATCCTGCAATTTGAGCAAGCATCTGCCGATGCCGGGCAGTCACTGCAGGTTCTGACGGATTTGAAAACGGTGTTGACGCCAACCATCCGCATCCTGTTTCTCCTGTTTGAGGCTGATGGGTTCAAGCCTGAATCACGTGCGGGGAGGCACATCTTGACCTCAATGTTGAGAACCCTGCCGGATTCAAAAATCGTTGAGGACGTGCATAGTGTGGTACGTGTGCAAAGGAACTCACAGAAGAATAAGAAACAAACAGTGCATCAAATCCAGCAGCTGGTGACGCAATCCCATGTGTTGAGTGAGCGGGGTATTCGGCATCCAGCAGCGGTTGATCGCGATTGTTTTCTTCAGTCCTTCAAACGCACAAGGGATGTTAAAAGGAAAAAGCGTTACTTTGCCCGAACAAAGAAAATGCCAAAGAGATGGTCTATGATCATGGAGCGCAAGACATGGGGATCTTTGACTGAAGATGTTTTGCTTCGTGGTGTGGTTGCATTTGCATTTCTCCGTGCTTACACGGGCCAGAACATGAAGAGCAGGGGCATTCGCGTGACTCATGGCTTGTTTTCCAAATTCGCAACTGACCTGGTGTTTCTCTCCTACACTGATCCGCTCGATGAATTACCAAGCCTTTGCGGTTTGTGCCTTGGACAGTGCCATTGGGGCATCTTGATGTGGCCAATACATCCTTTCTACCCAAACTCTGATGAATGGTGGACTTTGGATGCATCTGCAGGGGCTGTCTGGGCTCACATCGTCGAGCCCTGTCATTGGAGGGTGTGGCATTTCGGGAATGAAAACCATGGCGGTGACATGATTCTGATGCGGTTTGAAAAGTCCCAAAGCTTGCTGCAGCATTTTTTTGAAAATGTGCGAAACCACAACCGGGTGTCCAAACACGATCTCTGCATTTTGGGCGAACATCTTGGTGTTCTTGGCCAGAGCCTTGGGGTGCTGAAAAAAATGCCACAATTGGATCTCATTGACCAAATCTTAGACGTCATATGTGATGGTGACGTCGGATGGACTGAGCCCATCAAGAAGGCAATGCGTGGTCCCAAAGTAGCTGCAGATGAAGAGGATGATCCAGCCAAGTCGGAACTCGGCACAGTCTTGGATGAGATTGTCATGTCGGAACTAGCCTTGGAAGAGCGCAAAGATTTCAAACTGGTACAAGAGGCCATTACAAAAAAGGTGACATCAGCCAGTGGATGGACTTTGGTGGACGCCAAGGCCAATGCCAAAATCAAGTTGGGTATGAAAGCGAAAGCAAAAGCGAAGCCGAAAGCCAAGGCCAAAGTGAAGCCTTCGGCGTCGGCTAAGGGCCGTGGCCGTGGTAGGGGTGCTACGGCGAAGCCAAGGTTTGGCTTTGGAAAGAAGAGGAAACGATCCGCAGACTCTTGTCATGACATGTCATGTTCAATCTCAATTTTTTAATGATGCTGAGGCAACTACTTATCTTTAAACAGTATCCGCGTTGCCATTTCCTCCACAGAATGGGAGGGGTTGGGCTGCCTATAAGGCACCATTCTGTGGAAAGTGGTTCCTTAAAATGGGGTCAAGCTTGCCATTTTATAGTAATTTGTGGGTTTTACCTGGTTTTATCATTTTTATTTTGAAGGCATGATCATTTGTGGGCACCGAGACAAACCATTTTGTAACAAACAAAAAGCCATCATTGTAGATGTTTTTAAGGGTATGATTTGGTTGTTAAACAAATGTAAATTAGTCATTGACAAAGAAAAATCAGCTAGCCATTCTGTAGAGAGCCCATCGTTTTTGTGACTGGAATCGGAAAAAGTTTCCATCTGCAGAAGGATTGCCAGCACATTGTTGGCAAAATAAATAGAAAATATTCATGCTGCAAAAGTTGCATGAAAAAAATGGATCCACCTCCAAGGATGAGTGAAGATGGACTAGAGGGTAAAAACCCTACAAAATGGCACTGGGAAAAAGGCAGTTGACGCTGAGGTCTTGCCAAGATAGATGCTCTACAAAATGGCTCTGGTATTTTTATATGTTTTATAAGATCATGAACGCACTGGTTTGATCATTTTTTGACAGAATTGTCAAAATATTTGTGGATCAAAACAGGTGACAGGCACAACCACTTTGTAGAGCCATGGGTTATAGACAGACCATTTTGTAGGATGGAGACTGTGTACCGGAGCCATTTTGTAGAGAAAGGGGTTGTTTCACTACAAAATGGGACACCCCAACCCCACCCAGGGAATGGCAACTTGGATTAAACAATAGTAATTAATGATGATTTCACAAAGTGTCGGTGTATGCTTTGAATTTCAACTGATCTGGTTAAATCCCAGCATTTTTTTTGATTCTTGTGATCATTGTGCCCAGTGGTCTTGAAATCTGTCTAACAGCCAAGGACTTGGAACAATTGGTGCTCGACCCGGCCCCAGTCAATCCACCACTTGAAGACGCCCGGGAAACAACCGGCCCTATGATGGCAGAAGGTGATGATGATGGCTACAGTCCCTCAGACTCAGTCTTGAATTGCGATGACATTGCGGATGATTCCATGGGAGTCAAGGTTGAAGGGATTGATCCGGCGGCTTGTGCCGAAGGCGATGGTTCAATTGTGGCGCCCCCTGCTATTCCATTTCAGCCGCCCGGCAGTGGTGATTCGATGGATGAATACAACTTGTCCGATCCAGCAGCCGAACCCATGGCAGTTGAGCCTTCAATTAGTAACAATGACAATGTGGTTCCCGGTTCAGCTCACGGTGATGGGGTTCCAGACAGTGGCATGATGGCTCCACCAATTGATGGTGTGGCTCCCAGTGATGATGGTCAAGATAATTTGGCTGTTGCTGCGCATCCAGGCAATGGTGTGGCTGGTGCAGATTCAGATGTGGCTCCTGCTGCCGGTGCGGATGACCCTTATCCTGATGACATGCCATTGGAAGCTCTTCGACGAGCCCCACCACCAGCCCCTGCAGCCGCCGCTGATCGCGGTCCACGGGCCGCAGCTGCTTATTCGTTGACCTGGACTGACGTTCGATGCAGAAATTGTAATCAAGTTTGTGGCCAGCTCAAATATTCACCAGGCCCCTCAAGACATGGAGGTTCCGACCCGCCAACGTGGTTCATGAGGGTTAAGTCTGCAAGAGGTGCATGGCCAAGCAATGGCCCAAATTTTCGCCGCAGGGTGGCTCGTATTGTTGGTGACACGGATGACTATTGCAAAAACTGGATTCACGAAAACAGACACTGCTGCCGTGCCCGGTGATAAACATTGCGGCCGCTTTTCAGTTTTCCAAGAGATTCTGCTCGGCAAATGCGTTGGATTTTTGTTGGTCATTCATTCATTGAATGGGCAGCTTAATATTATAATTATTATATTATAGTCAGTGAAACAGTCGTCCGATTCGGTTACCGCTTTCCAGATATTGTCGGAGTGGGTATTTTGAATGCACGTGCAGATTCAGATTGCGCCAAGGTCTGTTGATTGCTGAGGGGGCATTGATTATTGATTCATTCATTGGCCATTTGCAAAAAATTGGTGATTCATAAGACACTGACACTTCGTCGTGATTGTCATTGTTTTAAAGATTCTGATTTAACCAAAGAGTGTTTATTGCAATTTGGCCCGTCGGTGCAATTTTGGACATTCAGTTGCAGAAAACTTGCAGTGAGTGCATGCCTCTTGTCAGCCATGTCAAATGCAAATGATGGTCAGCCAGCTGTTTTTTTTTCAGTTGTTTCTTTTTTTGTTCTATTTATTTTGCTGATTATGATGATAACAATCAATTAAATCATTGGATGTTTTTTTTGACTGTGGCTGAGCCCATCTCATATCTGTTTCACATTGATCTGAATCTCAGACAATGCCAAAATGCAAACCGGGGACGTTCATTATTTTGATTTGGCAGTGACAACAATGAAATGATGTGACATTGCAGTGACTTGTCAAGTCACACCATGCTGGGGTGTTAAATGGTTTATTTTGCGTATTGATCTGTTTCAAATAGACAGAAAGCACTAAAACAAGTTAGTATCACATATTAAATATTAAATAATCCAATTCATTTGGTATTGAATCCTACACCCCCCTGCCCACTCTTACGTCTCAGCTCTGTTGTTAATTTGACATTACTAGCGTGGAATGCCGGATGAATGTGCAATGCTGTGTTTTGATTGGCAAAACTTTGGTGCTTGAGAAATCTCGTTTTTGCTTGAAAAATCTCATTTTGAACTTTTTCCAGCTCATGCGCCATGTATTTAAACTCTATTGGAGATAAACCCTGCTGATCCAGACCCTGTCCTTTTTCTGATGAAATGAAGGGTGGTTTGAGACTTTACATCACATCATAATACATCACAAAAGAAGAACGGGCTATGACATGGCTTGTAACGAAGGGAAGTAGTAGGGAAGCGGTGACGAAGAGGTGATGAGGGGAGGAAGCCGGAGCACGAAACCGTACGTTTTTCCGTGTAAAGTGGTTGCAGCCGGCGATGAAAGGTACCTCCTGTGTGCGGCGGGTGCGGCTGGGGCCGTTCCGAGCGTAATGGGTTCCTCCTCTGTGTTCTGCAACGAGTGGTTGTTCCTGTGTGCGTAGTTCCTTGCATTTCTTGAATCTGCGGTTGCAGATCGCATTGGAATGGCTGCATGATTGTCATCTGGTGTTGCCATGCGCGTAGAGAGATGCAGGTTTGCTACATGATGCTGCAAAATGCATGGTAATGAGGTAATGGCTGAATGAATGTTGCATGGGGCTTGTGTTGGGGAGGAAGCCGGAGCACGAAACCTTGTATTTTTTCGTGTAAAGTGGTTGTGCAGCCAGCGACGAAAGATACTTCCTGTGTGCGGCGGGTGCGGCTGGGGTCGTTCCGAGCGTAATGGGTTCCTCCTCTGTGTTCTGCAACGAATGGTTGTTCCTGTGTGCGTAGTTCTTTGCGTTTCTTGAATCTGTGGTTGCAGATCGCATTGGAATGGCTGCATGATTGTCATCTGGTGTTGCCATGTGCGTAGAGAGATGCAGGTTTGCTACATGATGCTGCAAAATGCATGGTAATGGCTGAATGAATGTTGCATCGGGCTTGTGTTAGGGAGGAAGCCGGAGCACGAAACCTTGTATTTTTCTGTGTAAAGTGGCTGCAGCCGGCGATGAAAGGTACCTCGTGTGTGCGGCGGGTGCGGCTGTGGTCGTTTCTGTCGCGAATGTCTTCCTCCTCTGCATGAGACTCTGTGTTCTGCAACGAGTGGTTGTTCCTGTGTGCGTAGTTCTTTGCGTTTCTTGAATCCGTGGTTGCAGATCGCATTGGAATAGCTACATGATTGTTGTCATCTGGTGTTGCCACGTGCGTAGATACCCAGCAAGTCTAAAGATCCAGTTAAACGAGGACGATCATATAAAGATCTGGTTTGACTGAAAGACCTTAAAAAACGAGGTTCCCATAAATGTCAGTATTCATGATGATATACAATATATATAGCATGTAATAGACAGCATAGATGATACCTAGTATACTATCCCCATACCTCACCATCCACCATCTCCAAACCATCCACCATCCCAGCTTCAGCAGCACACAACACTGCAGCTGGTGCCAACGTTTCCCTTTCAGGCCGGACCGACCCACTTTTTTTTTTCAATTCTTTCACTGCGAGTTCGTTCAAACGCCGGATGTGCCTTTTCAACGCAAGTAGCCTGCCACACAACTCAGGGCACACCATATGATATGTCAGTGGAATTTGGGTAATCATGCTGATCATGATCATCTATGCGCCTGAAGTGTGATGCACGGAGGACTGATCTCGATAGGTTTCTTCGAGATGCAAGTTGGCATATGCCTCATACGTACCAAATTTCATGTATCATACACATCGCACACATGACATCGAGCACAGGGATGCAAACAAAAAACACAGTGAGATCCCAAGGTACACTTGGCCCATTTCATTTGATCTTCTTCCAAGAAGTTGTGCCAATGACGCCAATTAAGGCCTGAATTCCCATGCGCACATGTCATGTGCTGAAATTGTTTCAAGTACTGCAAAGGCTGCGCAACTGCTTTAAAAATAAGTCTAGGCACGGTGGCGAAGGCAGTCCTTCAATTGGTGGTGGAAAGCCTAAGGGTGCTGCTGGGAAACTGTTGAGTGTTTGGTGTATATGCACATCATTTTTTGCAGCAAAGGGTCGTGCATCTTCGGAATGCAATACCAAAAAAGAAGTCCATGCCTCGCACTCGTGCACACTCAATTGAAACTAGAGCGGCCGGGATAGAACACAATTTCAAGAAATCATGCCTGTGGGCAATTCTCGCTGAAGTCTTGTGCGCCCGCAAATACTTGATGCCAGATTCGTATATATCATTCGCTTGCTGTTGAGACCTAGCAGCTAGCATGCACAAACACCCACACACACACCAGGGTACTTGTTGAAAAGGCACATCCGCTGAATAAGTTCTGTTTTATAATTACTTCAATCTAGGCTGGGTCGAGGCACAGGTATCGAGGTGATCTCTCAATGTACCAAAAGTTTTTGGCCAGAGCATTCCTGGATGACAACAGTCAACAAGATCTGAGATAAATGTGTGTTATTTAAACAGAATTGGCCCATATGCATTCATTATTCATTTTTGCTGGGAGTCATAGCAACTGCTGAAGGAATCAGAAGCTCATGCTGTGGCCATTCCAATCCAGCAAGACATTGCCCCATCAGGCGGCCCTCTTCAACTCTGCGTTCCACAGCCATTTGGAGGCAGGATGCCAGCCAGCTGACCACAACCCGGGCATTGTAGGCTTTTGCAGTTAGGTGGGCCCCCCAAGTTGTAGATTTCCATACCTCAATGATTGAAATCCAACACACACATATAATATATATATATATACACATCCAAAAAGGCGCAGTGAAAACACATGGTTCTTTCCACCATTAGAATTCATCCAAGTTGCAGCTTGTATCATGAATAAAGTCTGTGAAGATTGAATCTTGTTCATGGCACACCAAGCTTTGAAGTCTTTGAATGCTGTCACCAAACGGTCAGGAACAGACACTGTTTCAGGATCTCCAAAAAAACCTAGCTGCGTCAATAGAAGCCTCAAACCAGAGTTGATTCATGGGAAAAAATCTGGGTTGGTTATTACCAGTAATCCCAAACAACTGTGTCAAAAAAAACGGACTTGAATTTCATATCAGTAACAACGCTGATCCATTTGCAACTGCAGCGATCCCGAGATTGACATTGTGCATACTACAGTGACGCACCATGGAGTAGTGGAACTTTGGAAGTAGTATCAGGGGACCTGATCTGATAAAAATGCTGGGAATAACCATGCAGGTGTCCATATTTTTTTGGGCGTTCCCCCTTACACAGTAAAAGAAACATTTTACTTAAGTTGATGCCAGCTCACATGGCCCGGCAGGCCCTATCGAAATGCACCGGGCCAAGAACTGAGCATGGGTCAGTTGGGCCGCTTCCCAATCGGGATGTTCCCTGAAATCCAAATACGAGGGGAATCCATCAGACTCAGCAGTTTTGCTAGCTTCACACCGCCAACAAAATTGCGAATTCCTCCATGATCGTTTTAAAGACAGGGCATCACAATGCCATTCCCAATCTCCCTTCAGCTCTGTGACGCAAAAACGAAGAGTTTTTCCATCAACCTGAATTCCATGTTCATAAAGTTGCCACATACTTTGAACAATCCTCTTGTAGATTGGGAAAAGGGTTCGGGCCCCCAGCATGCGAAAAGTTTCCATTGCACACAGCAGCCAAATCCGACGACGAGCTGCACGTGGATTCCCAAGGGGTAAGCTGAAGAAGATGCAAGTAACTTTTTCCCCTGCTAAGGAAAACTTTGCAGAATCACCATAAAGTGCACAGGGAATGTGATCACCTTCTGACATACAACTCCATGGGCAATTTGTGTCCCTGCAATGTTTCCAGTACTTTTGGATTTCACATGGGGGTATTTCCAAACCCACATCGCAAAAGAGATACCTCAATAGATCCTCCGGTAGTGTCATCGGTATGTCGACTGGTACTGGGTCACTCTCACGTAGCTTTCCCCGCATCATGGTCTGAACTTGAACTGTCTCCTGCAGGGAAATGATAGTGATTGGGGGAAATATATATAGTACATCTAGCTCATCCTATGCTCATAAATTTATTAGATCAAATATTGTTTCATCATAGCTATAGCTATACATTTAGACACGGCCATGCGCTGTTCTTCTTCAACCCACAGTCCACTGGTGCTTGAAAGTGTCTTCGAAAGTCTCTACTCGGATTGTGGGTGGAGTAGGAACCCAGCTTTTCAACTTGGGGTGGAAGTCCACTTGGCGTGTCCTGATTAGACCATGACTGATATCATGATCATGGGGCATCAGAATCAACTCCATCAAAATTTGATATTTGTGATTGAATTCTAGTCTGTTTTATTTTGCTACCAAGATTCCAGAAAGGATGCCCTGGCTTGTTCCATTTGTTTTTTGATAGAAGCCTGGGTTGGGTCAACATTGTTTGATGGACCACTATCGACTCCCAATCAGTAGTGAATATATATGTAATCAATATTTTTTGCAGATAAGGGGCTCCACTGGCAAGGCTGTCCAACATATGAGCGATTTGGTGCCCTCGATCAGGTTCAGCATCACCTGCGTGGGGATTCACATATATATAGATTAGTCTCGATATATGTAACTGCAAATATAAACAGCCATGCATAGTAGTGTTCAACAATCATGATGTTGGGAATTGCGATCATCAAAGAACAAACAGGGATAGGGGTATAAAATGGGAATCGACTATTCTTGGAATCAATTTTTTTCTTGCCATCGCACAGTCAGGTTAAGGATTGGGATATAGGTTACCTCATATCTGGAAAGAGGCGCAGATTGCCCACAGAGCTGTATGGATTCACACAGCAATGGCTAAAGGCAACTGATGCCAACACCCCGCATTGATCACACTAGGCCTGCTGGAACAATCAAAAAAAAATCGATGAAAATTGTTGAACCTGGTTTAAACATTGGTTTATTTCATAGAAGGAAGTTCCAAAGTTGGTTTTGATCAGCAAATGGGCCAGTGCATTCACAAACCTACTTTTTTTTGGAAGTACCGGAATTCGCTGACTTGTCAGCCTTCCGTTTCTTGCCTGTGACCGGCTCCATCTTTTCATCGAAATCACTAATACCTTTTTTGGCATTTTCCAGGGCTTTCTCAAGCGTTTGATCCCCCCATGAAAAAGCATAGCGATTGATGATACCCAAGGGAAGTCTTGATATATGTGATATATATCTCACATATATATAACTAAATAAATATATAATATAATCCACATACTTGAGCCTCCCCCACTGTCCTGCGATCCATTGTCCAAGGTCTCCTGCAGCGACGTCCTGAAGCGAGTAAGGCGGGCCAAGAGCCCATTGATCTCCTTCTCCATAGCGTTCTTGATGTTGGGCGACCTGTCATGTCTCACACTTTCGGATGAGAACGTATATGAGGAATCATGATCGATGGTATTGGATTCATTAAATAAATCTGTATTGGAAGGTCTCCCACCCTTTGGGTCAGTAGTGTTCAACTTTTTAGCATGGTTGTACGATGATGTTGTAATTATATATATCCTATAGCTATGTCCCCATTTATTTTTGACGAGGTGCCAAGCTGTCATGGTCTTGATCTTTTCGTTGGCTTGGCGAACTCTGGTGTTGATGTCCCCGATCGCCTTGCAGAGGGAGACAAGTGGGTTGTGTTCTGGGTAAAGGGTGCAACCTGACCTTCTTGGAGTCTTTAACCAAAAGCTTGGCAGCTTCCTTCGCCTTTTCTGCTTCCGGGTCCTTCTCTTTATCCTTCCCCTTGTTATTTCGAGACTTACCCTTCCCAGTCCTTCCTTTGGCTTTCTTATCCTTAGATCTCTTCTTCTTAGACTTCTGGCTCTTCCCCTGGAAATGATAATGGCCGAACAAACATACTTTATTTTTTTTTGAATTCAGCCCACATATATACATGGTACATGTACATGTACTACAGTGCATGATGACTATCCTACCTGCCGGCACAATGCAATGCCAAAAAAACATTGCCTTTCGTTTCTTCGAGTCTTTGCGTGTGGTCTTCTTCTTCTTCTTTGAGCCACCATCAGAGTCAGTCGACTCATCATCGTCATCGCTTCCATCAGAACTAGATGAATCACCATCGTCATCACCGTCCCTTTCTGTTGTGCAAAACTTGTCCATGATTCGGTCAGTCTCTGAAGCCTCCTCTGAGTCTTCTACCAACACTAGGTATTGGAACATCGACGGCACTTCAGGATGCTTTCTGCATTCTGTTTCACGCAGCTCAGGGTCAGACTCTTTCCTCAGAATGATTCCATCGACCACAGCCTCATCATTGTCAAAGATGGGAATCATCTGCTGACGCGTCAACCATTTTCTGCGACCAGACTTCTTGTTCTCAATTGTGTTGGTGACACTCCGGTAAATTGTACTCTTTCGCCAGTCACATGAAGACTTGAAGAAATCCTCGTACAGCATGGACGACTGCTCTTTGCCTTATTGCAGGGATATGCAGGGATCAACTAATATATATGAACTGGTACCGGTAAGTTAGGCATATATCACAGTAATCACTGATGCTATTCTTACATGTCACTGGGGTCTTGACACCAGCGGAACCTCTTGGCCAACTTCTTGACTTCCTTTGGGCAGTTCCTGCCTAAGATTACCAGCAAGAAGGATGGGGAATAGCACTGTCGATCTACAAAAACTGAAATCAAACTGGATGGGAATTGGACGGATTTGTATACATTGCAACCTAGATACTTTTGATGGACCTCCAATACTTCATGTACATCGCATGGGCCTTTCGATGCTTTTCCTCAGTAGCCTGGGTTTCATCAAGTTCCTCAATGCTGTCATCCTTCTTGTCATGTCCACCTTCAGCTTTCTTATTTTTCTTGCGCAAGCCCTTAAGCTTCTTCATCTTCTTCTTAGTCTTAGTTGTTGATGGGGTGGCTGTAATGTGCTTCAACCGAATCAAGCGCTTCGGGGTGCTCTTGGGAGGTGCATCTTTGCTGCTGCTCTTGGCTGCACTTTTCTGACCCTGGGTCTTGGTTGGAGCCTTGCTTACCTCGGTGGGCTTGCTGAATTCTTTCAACCGTTTCAACCTCTCTTTTTTTGCATTGGCCAAGTGCTGCTGGACTCTCTCGGCTGCTGTAGATGGCTTCTTTGCAGACCTAATTTCCTTCTTCACTTTCGCTGTTTTGCCTTTGGGAGTCTTACTGGAAGGCGACGGTGTCTGCTCAGAGCTAGACTGACTTGTGGCATGTGTCTGCGCTGGTGCTTGCTGTGTCGCATCACTTGAACCCAAAGAACTTGTGGATGGGCTGCCCTTTGGTGTCTTTGGGGACAGGTTGTCCACAGTCGTACCACGGTTGAGTCGCATTGCTTTTTTGTCAACTGACCCCAGTGATTCAGTAGACGGGCACATAGGCAAAGTTTTCTGGGAATCAAATCGACTGAAAGAAAGCTTGCGACGAACCCTGCATGGAGTCGGCACCACTGCCTGTCCAGGGCCTGGGCAAGAGCACAATCCAGATTTTGCAGGGGGACCCAGGGCTGAGTGGCAAAATTAAGCTGAGAGATGAGCAAGCACCATGAGGTTCAGCAGTCGCTGACCTAATTATTAGATGGGGATTCAAATCGATTATTGCAATCATTAAAGGTTGGAGCTGACAATTGATGGGGCCCAGACTGAGTAACATTCGACCCCTTCAGCTTAGAAGTAGCTCTAGCTGCCCTCTCCCGGGCTTTACGCAGCGCAGCTTCAACAGGGTTCTCCATGCTGGGAGCGGGGCTTAGAACCGATCAGCTGCAAAATAGTTTGTGGAATGTTCGTGAACAACAGATCACGGTTTTTTTGAAAATATTGGCAACACTAAAATCACTCAAAATCACGGGTTTTTCACGGGCTTTCACGGTCTTTTCACGGGTTTTTCACGGTCTTTTCACGGTTTTCGGTTCGATCACAATTTTCATCATTCGAGTGTGAAAATCGTAATTTTTAACGACACACTCCGAATTATCGCAAATGAATTGTGGTATGACCTAAAAGTCCAATGGGAAATTGGGGATAAATCGACCACTCTCAATCTCGGCTTTGATGAATTGCTTCACCGGATCCCAGCTCGCATGGTTCCAGTTGTAGGGAGCGACTTTCTTGCTGGTGGCCCCCTGCACCAAGTGCAAAAAACAGTGCCCCTGTAAAAAAATGTTTAATTGAAACCGGTATCATGAGAAACCTTGGATATAAACCGTTGGCCTGGTTGGAAAAAGCTTTGACAGCAGCCATGTAGTTCCACCGGGATCTCTTTGCCTGGGATATATATAGATTTAAATTTGTTCACCACTGTCGTATATGCACACCAGGGACATGTTAGCTATGAGCCTTGAAATCATGGACGAAAAACAACTGAGAGTATGACCATTTCCTTCAAGTGAAATTGAGCCACCTTCCTCCCAAATTTCTCTGGATAAACCTGTGTAGATTTCAGCCGTGGTCCACCAGACCTGAAGTGCAGCATGGATCAGGAGCTAATCACTAGATTTCAAGATTCAAAAAATCTGGATATTTGTTCGATTTCCATTCCATGACCATCTTCATGAGATCTAGACTCCGATTACTTTTAAATACCAGAAACTTGCAAACTCAGTATCCGACACAACTGTTTTTCCAGTGGTGCGGTTCACAGACCGCTTGGTGACTCCAGTTGAGTCTAAGCGCAACTTCACCCGGTCCTTGAAGGAGAGTTTCTTGTAAAGCCTACCTGCCCACTTCCTGAGGTATGTGGCACAGTCATGATGGCTACAGGCTCACGCACTATGATTGATGAGGCCCAAGCGTGGTCCCGATCACAATGGTTGACTTTGCTGTGGCTGAGCCAAACCAAGCCATCCATCTGGGCGAACTTTGGTTTGGGTGTTGGGCACATTCATGATGCTGGAACGGAGTTATAAATCTGGATATCGATTATGGTCCATCAATAGGTACCACTATATATATATCACACATCGATTCTTTCTGAGAACCCCACAAACGGTGGATGCTGATCGCCACAAAGTTCTGCAGCACTCGAATAATCCACTTCAAGTATGGAAAGTGGACAAAAGTTGAAGAAGCTGGCTGCTCGATTTCCCAGTGCACAGATCTGACTGTGCAAAGGGCACAAAGCAGCAATGTGCGAGTGGCAATCCTTGGTAGAAACGGCAATGGTGGCACACACACACACACATACGTGCACTGAGATGCAACTTTGAAATACACGCTATACATATTACATTGCCATTGGTATTTAAAAAAAACTGTACTTGCTGATCCAATTGTCAAGTAACACATTTGCTTGCTGAATGTACAGCTTCAACTGATCTCCAAATGGTACATCTGCAGACCGCATACTGGTAGATCTATTCAACCAGATGAATGAACAACATGGCAAACCAGCGAAAAAAAGTCCAAATTCTCGAAGTCTGAGGGTGAACTCCACTGCTGTCAGCCATCCAGTCCTCATGTTTTTATATGCATGCGCATGTTAAACAGAACTAGGCTTTGATTTTTTGGTGATTCACGCAAGTTGAGACCCGCACATCGATAGAATATCGTGCTTTGGGCAGGTCTCCTTCTCGAAGTGTTCCCTGACAGTGATACTGGAGGCTGGGACGGGCTGGAAAATCCAAACGAAAACTTGCACATGTTCTAAGTTGGGTTGATCAAGCAGAAGCTCCCCGATTTGAGCACCAAGCGTTCGACAACCTCCAACATGACCTGGGCAAGGAACAATCTCATGAGCATGGTCATGGGATTCGAATGATAATAATCATTGATCATTTTCAAAAACCCCCATTGAAGTCATCAGCCCCCGGCTGAACCCTCGGGAGATAGATCTTTTCCCAGCAAACATATCTACGACGTGTATGTCCTGGGAGGTCAGGGGCTTTCGACAATTAAGTTCTTAAAGTCTTGGGCATGCATCGGACCTTGACAAATATCTGGGGCATTGACTCTGACTGGCATCTCAGACTGCTGGGCCACCAGGTCACAGAGCTGCACACTTAGCAGCACAATTCAATCATTCAGTACCAGTAGTGTCTAGAATCAGTATTTGTCCCCATGATTCATTTCGCACATTGAAGCTGATAATTCTACTTTTGCACTGATGTACCAGGGCCCGGGCAAGACCAGCGGTATTCCAAACATCAGCAATCCCATAACTTGGGACTGGGTCAACGCCAGTGGGTTGTGATCGCATCCCTTCGCTGGCATCCTTAAGCAAACCCTCAAGGTAGCTTGAGCAGCTAGGTCCACCTACGTGAGACACAAACAAATAATCGTGATCATGATCACTTCAGATTTCCGCTCATGAATGCAAATGTTGACTCTGATCATCTCTGATCTTTTCAATTTGGTAGAGGTTCCCCTTGCTTTCCCTTGCAAGCTGTAGATGCCTTTTCAACCATGAGCCCGTGTCAGGAATCCTGGCTTCAAAAGATCTAGCAGCTGGGGTCCCCAAGACGCATTGGGATCATGCATCATTCTCAGCAGACTCATCCGGCCACCCTGCAATGATGCGGGCTGCGTCAAACCTTAGTTCGAGTGGGCAATGGGCACCCAAAATTGTTACAGTTGCATTGAGAATGGAAATTGTTCTGCTGGATGATCAGAACATGAGGGTCAGACGCTTCATGGATCGATTCAAATTTGGACCATCCCAAGGTCAGTCCCTGCTTGTTGTTTGCCTGGCAAGCCAGGCATGAATAAACCAAATTATTTGTTTCATGAAGCACACTTGGGTTTAAATTTGATACAATTGCATATATAATTATCAACATATATTTTTCTATTCGCCTTGAAGGCTCCTCCATACTGCGAATTGAACTTCTTGAGAAGCTTCTCATCCACTTTGCTGAGGTAAAAGCTGCGGGCATACAACCTTGGACGGAAATAAGATGTTTGAACTATAGGATCATGGATCATGACAATCGATCGATCTATGTTTTTGATTTTTATCTCAGGAGTTGATACAATAAACATGTATGGGCATGTATGTAGGCCTGAAGATAGCCATCGCTTATCTCTGCATTTCAAATCCGGTCTGAGGCTTGGGCACGACTCCAATTGTCGGGCGCTCCTCCCCTTCGACACTCAAAGTCCAGGACCTGGGCAGTGGACATGATGGGGGTGTATAGATTTGAGATGTAATTTGGGACCCCAACTTTCGATCATTAGGAACATAAAAGTCGGGCTCCTTCTCTGCAATGTGATGCAACTCCTCTAGATCTGTCTTCATTTGCTCGGTCATCTTCATGTCCTGTGCATGTAAATCTTGGAACTGAATTGAACAAAACCAGCAGTGTTGAATAATATTGTTCACAATAACTGATAAATTTGATGGGGTCCTGTGGTGGCTTCGAAGCAGCTGGTCTTTTCAGTGGTCTTTCCTGACTCTCCTTTGACTCCGAATCTTTGCGCTTATGACTTGAACTTTGAAGATCAGGAACCGGTTTCGGTTTGTTTTTCGCTCTGCCTCTGCCCTTTCCCTGCCCACGACCTCGCCCTCGCCCACCACGCCCACGAGAAGCCTTGCTGCTGGGACGCTTGTATATGTTACTAGACAATTCCGATGAATCCTCACCACGCTCTTCATCCTGTTCTCCAGCTTGTTTCAAGGCTTTTTGGGCCTGATCATGCATTCAATTTTTTCTGGAACGTGTCACATATATAGGTCGTGGTAGTTTCCAATAAAAATTGCTGAATGATATGGGCACACAACTATGTAGATACATAGCGACCGATCATATATATCAAACTGCCTCCAGGATATCATCATTGGAATTGCCTTCCTCTGCGGCCACAGCCTCAAAGCTGTCTTGGACCGCCCTCGACAGGTCACCAGGTGGCTCCTTTAGGAGCGAGCTTCGGTCCTGACCAATGGAACGAATGGAAGCAATCTATAGCTAGTGAATTGCTAAGATAGCTAGATCAATTGAAAAATATACGATGCTTGTCAAAGACCTTTAAATTTGGAGAAAACAAATGAGAAATCGATTTGAAACAATGCAGTGCACGCAGAACATTTCACTAGATCACCGCTCCTTGTACGTTCCCTTCTTAGGATCCTCTGGTTCATCTTCCTGTTCTATAGTTTCATCATGATCATGATCACCATCATCTTCAGGGGGGCAATCAGCATCATCCTGGTCACCAACATCTAAGCATTCATCATCGGTGTGTTTTTCTTCTTCAGCGCCCTCAAGGCCACGGACATCGTCTCCAGGTTCAACATGTGGCTCCTCGGCCTTAAGGGGAAGCAGTGGAGTCTCAGGTTTGTTCACAAGGGCTGTCAACTGGGCCATGGGGAAAATGGTCACAATTAATTATATTTATAGCTGGAAATCAAATTCGATTCGCTTGACTATTGTGATCGATCCTAAAACATACCACATCGAGTGCTTGTCAAATTCCAGAGAAAGTTGAGGATTGAGCATTCTCAACCGTCTCCCCCGCTGGAATGGTAGAGTCACGGCCAGCCTGGGTGCAGAGAGGCACAGTCTACTGGATCCATTAATAAGGCTTTCAAAAGCATGATCATGATCATCATGACAAAGTAAATACATAGGTCACATGCAATATGGCCATCCACTAGTGAATAATTGTTGGAGTGCCCAAGTGGAAACCCCAGCCTTGGCTGCAACAGCAATTTCTTTCAGGGTCTGCATCTTCTCGTGGCCTTTCCTCCCAGCGCTGAACCATTAAGATTCAATTATTTTGCTAGTATGGGGAGATACTTGATAAATCACGTGTTTAGACTATTCAAAAGGAGCACTACTGTCCTTGCTGATGAAGTCTTCTTAATCCTCAGGCAAACATACGAGGCAAAGCCTCGAAATAGGGAAGCTTCATGCTCCGCCCAGGCCTGCCAAACGATAACCACACGAGATCATGATCAAGCTAGATTTTTTTTTCGAATGATGATTATGATCATGATCATGTATGACGACTGCACGATTCATGATGATTAACTATGACTGGTGATGATGATGATGATGATCAAACTTGCAATATTAATGCATGAAATTTCCCAAGACCGGCCTCCCGTTTGACTTTCCCACTTTTGCTGTCTTCAAAATTGTTCAGCCGGAAGTCGAAGTCCATGGTGATCAGGGCAGCCTAGCGAGGCAAGAATCAGAAAAAAAAATAAAAATAATAGGGGATTAATTGTACGAATTTATCAAAGTTGAGTCATGATCACTGCCTTCACCTCCTTCGCTGTAGGCAGCGAGGCAGCAAAGCTGCCAATGTAAGCGCTCATGAGATTCATGTTGTTCTCAGTTCCAGTCACCTGCAACAACAAAGCTAATTGAATTTGGAAATTATTGGAAATTCAAATGGGTGTGGCTACCTATCCATGTACAAGTCCCTGCACGCCTGCATCTCGTCAATTTGGCTACTGGTCTTGTCCAGGAAGGGGAACCCTTTCACCTCCCAGAGTAATCAGGGCAAAATTCGATCTACACCCCAAAAAAAAACACAGCTGGGTATTCAAAATCGTTCAAAATCATAGGGTGGCCTTTTTCCCCTGATTTTTCAATTTCTTCATGATCTTGCACCGGGAACTGCTGTAGTCATTGGTCAAGACTTCCCTGAAGAGTTCCTGCCGAATTAGTTCAAAAAATTGGATCCACCCCAGAATTGAACACCTGGATTCGTGTTGCACACATGTTGCTGTCCTCCAGCTCAGCTACTGTCTCAGGTTTGGGCTTGCTATCCGGCATCCGTGGCCACACTGGTAGCACAAGCAGTAAACTCACACCATCCTTTATGTTTAAAAAAGATCCTGTTCTAATTGTTGTGTTTTCTCTGCATGGGGGGTTTTGAAATGCACATCCCAGGGCTCCACCAAGATAAATTTATGTCCGTCCGATTGATGCATGTTTGGCCCACAATGTGCTTCGGATGCTGAAAATGTGAAAACTAGTTCAAAGAAATCAACAATAGTGAATCAGAAAGTGTCCCAATGTGCAAGCAGGGCAGAAGGGGCGTACTTGGAGCCACATCAGAACTCTCAGTGGCTTCATCACCTCAGACACACAAATTGGGTCCTATAATTAAAATCTCCGGATATATAGTCATTCCAGGATATTCCAAGCTAAAGCCTGAGATGAGGGCGTAAAGACCGGGAAGCACGTAGCATGAGTCACCTAAGAAAGTTAAAATTTGGGCCAGGGCGATCTAGTTGTATACCATAGCCAGAGCTAAGTCAAGAGCCACCAATCAGCGCCATGAAGAGGCACCAACTACATGCGCATTTTTTTCTGGCTGATGCTCAACATTTGCCCAAAAAGTCTTGTTGAATCTCATGGGGGTTTAAATCAGAGCATCTTGAGCCAGCCAACTCATGGAGGTTGGCAGTGGTTGGATCCAGGCAAACACTATCAAAGTGAAAAGCCCTGGTTAAACGAGGTGTTTGTTAAAGACCCAGTTAAACGAGGACGTGGACTCTCAGGGATACGTGCAGGTTTGCGACGTGATGCTGCAAAACGCATTGCAATGGCTGCGTCAAGGTTGCTTGGCGCCGCAGCTGCATGCGTAATACTATTGTCTTTTGCAGCTGGATCTCGTAAATAGTATTGGAATGGCTGCATCAAGGCTGCGATAGTGATTTTTCAGCGGATTCTCTCAATTTTGGCGCTAGCATTTTTCCTTTTAAGCCCCCCTCCTGTGCTTCAAAATAATCTTTCCGACAGCGTTGCACGTAGTTCTATTGTGTTTTGCAACTCAGCCTCTGCAGATCGCATTGTAATGGTTGCAGCTGTTGACGCTGGACTGTGTGTGTGTGTGTCTGACTGACAGATTACAATTAACATAAGATATACTGTAGTTAAGCTTTGCTGCAATGCATGAACATTTCGCGTGAGTTACCACAATACTGTAAATATAATATGGTCTAGGCGTGCAATTTGCACGAGAGCTTTTGTGTGTTAACAAAACTTTTTTGGGATACAGAAGAACTGGGGAGACGAGCTAAGCTTTGTAGTACAAAGATACTTTCTAGAGGCTTTTCCTGTGTAAAGTGTAAATGCATCTGTGTCTCAAGCTTCTGTGTGCTGACAGGAAGAGCTTTGTGGCGTGCAGAACAGCTGAGGTGAGCTGAGAACAAATTCGAGGAGATGAGAAAGGTTGATCAGTGCGCGGATGGGATGAAAACAGTTGAGAAGAACTTTCTTAGATGACATGTGAGAGGCGGTGGGATGAGATGAGAAGAGCTGAGATGAGGTGAGATGAGAAGAAATCACATGATCTGAGATCTGAGATGAGATGAAGTGTGGAGTGTGAAGTGTGAAGAGTGCAGTGTGAAGTGTGAGGAAAGTCTTCCCTTGGCGTTGCATTGCACCGGGGTCGTGCGCAGGCCATGTTCTAGTAGTGGTTATCTATCAAGTACTCATCATCTACATCCCAATACCACATCTACTTAAAAGGTTTGATTGGTCCGAATGGATTGTGATCATCACTACTTGATATGGGTTATGTATCATCCCCGATCTATCGCCTCTATGGGTAGTATATGAAGTATATCAAGTAGTGATGATCTATCAAGTACTCATCATCTACATCCCAATACCACATCTACTTAAAAGGTTTGATTGGTCCGAACGGATTGTGATCATCACCACTTGATATGGGTTATGTATCATTCCCCAAACATCTCCTATATGAGTAGTATATCAAGTATTTCAAGTAGTGGTTATCTATCAAATACTCATCATCTACATCCCAACACCACATCTATTTAAAAGGTTTGATTGGTCCAGGATGGATTGTGATCATCACCACTTTGGGTTATGTATCATCCCCCAAGTATCTCCTATATGAGTAGTATATCAAGTATATCAAGTAGTGGTTATTTATCACGAATATCATCATCAATCCCTAGATGAAGCCAGTGACCCAACAAAATCTTATACGACACCGCTAGGAAGATTCGAGAGCACGAGTTGGAGCTGGTGCGGCAAGCGTTGGGAGATCAGGAGCAATTGCCCAAGGTGCGCGGTTACGAAAAGTGGCTGGGTTTTGGCCAAGAAATCCATGGGGATTTCCTATGGAAATATGGGCATAAAACCTGGAAGAAGGGCTTGTGCTGGGCTGATTTATTCTGGTTGGTGGTTGGGAACCATGGAATTTTATGATTGTCTATTCAGTTGGGAATAGTAACCCCAACTGACTTTCATATGTTTCAGAGGGGTTGAAACCGCCAAAAAGTATTTGATTTAATTATTGGAAATAAGAAATGAGGCTGGATTCAGCCTATACCTGGTGTATTTCTTGATTTAAATTATGAACGCAAATTACCAGAAAGGAACTTATTCCAGTCCATGCTTACTATAATCGCCTAGTATATTAGTGGCTACATGAGAAAGAGTGACTATATATACAGTATATATATATATATGTATGTGTGTGCCCCAACGTTTATTTCATTTGTTTTGAATGTGTTTTGAATGTATGCTGAATATGTTTTGAATGGAATTTGAATGTGTTTGTTGGATATATGATTGCTATTTCTTGTTGCATTTCATGTCTCTAGACGAAAACCGTCCAAAATGCGCATAAAACGATGAGATCAATATTTTCTGAGTGGATTTCTGACCTAACCTGCACCCTGCCGTACAAATATCACAATCACATAGTTTAACATATTTGACCTTAAAATGGAACCATGTTTTTTTAGCAAAATGCTAGTGTGTTTTTTTGAGATGAGTAGATTTATGTTTTTTCGGGGTTTTGGGCTATCCCTTATCTCTTTAATGCGACACATTGGGCAAAAAAACAGAATCCAGACAGTAAAACCGGGTTTACCCATGTTGAAGCACCATGACATGGGCTAAGATTTGTTTTTGCTGAAGTGAAGAGTGGTTGGGAAATTGAGTTGAAACTTGGAAATTATGTGCCGGACCAGGTTGATGTGTGGTTCATGATCATGGTTGTTTCACCCATTTCTGCATATGTGGTTTATAAACCCTATGTGGGATGGTAGCCACGTCCTAATTGGGATGTAGATCTGCAAAGCGAGAGGCCCAAGGGGTTTGCGAGAGTCCCACAGAAATTAGCCTTTGGTAGTTGACCATGACTATTGAAAAAAATCATGATGGGTAAATCACTGATAATTTCCAATTTTCCAGGTTGTCAAATTTCCAGAGGGTAATTTTGGGAAATGGAACTTGGAGACAATCCCTTTCATACTTGAGTTTTTCCAATAACTTGATTACCCTAAAGATATCTAATAACCATAAATGGATCATACCTGGAAAAACCCTCTGCAGCAGAAGTTACCATCCAATAACTTCAAATAGATGGAACACAACCATGATTTCTTCGGAAAATGATCCATTCTGAAATCGCCAAGTTGTGGCATGATTTGTCCGTATGGAACATATGGCATTGTGTTTTTTTTTCTCCCCATCCTCATTAAAAAACATGAAATGGTTTGTGTTAATTCATTGGAGGTATCCCAAGTACTAAGTACGTACTAGGTATTACCGGAGCAAGGTGGTTCCCCATAGTTACCTAGTTTACTTAGTAAGTCAACTAGTGTTTAAGGTACATGGATCGAACCAGCTAGAGGTGAAACTAGACCAAACAAACATTGCTGTCTCGGGACACCACCTGGTTATTATAGTCAGCATTAATTGTATTATAGTGGCATTAAATCCGCATATTTAAAAAGTATATAAATATCTCAATATTATAAATATATATATATTATTAGTAGTACAATCCACGTAGAACTTATATCATATAAATCTCCAATGTGTTTGCTCATTATAAATTCGTTTGTTTCTGGATTCAATCTCCGTATTGTTCTTGGTTAAACCGCCAGTTGACAACCTCGAGTCTTTGAAAACCTCAGCTGTATCTCCAGTGTACCCCTTGGTGTGTTGCTTAAATTCATTCAAATCTCTATTTTTGATGGTTAAGTCACCATGTTTGTTGCTTTATTCTTTATTCTCTGGTAATTTAACATAGCTATTGAAAATGGCCATTTATAGTTGACTTTCCCATTAAAAATGGTGATTTTCCATAGTGATGTTAGTTTACCAGAGGGTAGTCCCCATTTTCCGTGCTTTCATGTTTCATCCCTATTTTGTCCATGGCGTCCATCCCCAATGTCTGGGTGAAATCAGTGAAATCCTGAACAGTGACTGAACAGAGTTTTAAGTCGTTTCTTTGGATGTGCCACTGCATATCCCCACTGCATCTCATAATCTAACGATATAGTGGGGATATGGAGATGCAGTGGGGATATTTGGATAATCTAACAATTTAAAAACGCAAAACATAGTTCTAACCATAAGATCTTCCCATATCATCCATCCATTTTATATGTTTTGTTCAGAAAATAATGTGGGTAAAAATGCCGTAAACCATCCCCCAGTCACCATTTTTATAGGTGGTATGGTTACCATTCCCAAATAGGTCGTCTATGACATCGTTTTACCCACATTCAATGGTGAATATCTATCATGAATTGAGATAATCATGGGATATCCTATTGTGAATATTGGGATTATACAACACTATTAACCAGTATTAACCAGTATTAACCAGTGTTTAATCACCATTAATGATGGTTTAATCATTAATCACCAATAATCATGGATACAAATTGTTCATATCTCCATCCCCAGGGGTACATCCCCACCGTTTTTCCGTGCCAGGAGCAGGTGACACATCTCTTCCGCGACCTGGGCTACGTCCTGTGGGACGCGCAGGCCATCGCCGAGGCCGCGCAGGAGGCGCAGATCCAGGAGATGCTGCGGGGGAAATGCCTGGAGGGAAAATTATGTATGCATATATATATATGTATGTGTAACATGTACATATTTTAGAACTATTGTAAGATATGTTGGTTTACTATCTTATATATTTATATCTACATATAGGTATATATATATATACATATATATACAGCCTCCAGTAAGCTAACATATCTGTGAAAAAATGAGGATAAAACTGAAAATGGGAGAACCTCCAATGGGCTTGAATCTATCAAAAAGATTGGAGATGAAACTGATTAGCAGAGATCATAGGTATTGAAGGCAGAAAAAGATGGGGAAAGCAACCAACCATGATGATTTGAGCATTAAAAAAAATGTGATTTAACCATTTAATCAACAAAAGCGGTGATTTAACAAATTTAACCATGAAACAGTGGGATTTGCAGCCCACTTTTTCATGGTGGAACAATGGGTATATGGACCTACCAATGATCTATCCGGATCACTGCTTCGTCTGCGGGCGGAAAACGCCATGTTGTGAGACTAAGTGCGACTGCAGGCTGACAACTATGCATATTATGCATGTTCAAATCAAGCTCGATATGTTTACATTAAACCATGCATACATATACTGGTTGGTGGTTTGGAACATTTTTTATTTTTCCATATATTGGGAATAATAATCCCAACTGACTAATATTTTTCAGAGGGGTTGAAACCACCAACCAATATATATATATATATACATATGTATATACACACCTTCCAGGCAAACTAACATAGCTTTAGAACATGTCCCATTTAGTTCGATGAATTGCCTATGCAGAATGATGCTTTTTCATAGCAAACTGTTAGTTTACTGGAGCGTGTATATTGATATCACAGCATTGATGTCACAGCCACAAGGTATTGTTAGTGCTCAACTTGGATAAACCGATTGATGTTGTACCATACGCCCCCGAAGGGGAGAAACATGGACAAGAACTTTTTTTGAACTGGTTGCAGCATGATTTCCGGCACAGAACGACCGGAGAAGAAATGAAAATGGATTAGATAATCAAAATGTTTTAAACATGAAGAAATTGACTACCAGTTGTTTAACATAATGTTACGATTAGTATTGACTTACAGTAAGTTTATATAATTGGTAGGTAACCATTGGACCAGCGCAGGAAGATCAGCTGGATCTCAGCAATTTATGGCGCCTCTTGCTCATGTATCGACAACGTGAAGGCATGCGTAGCTCTTGGCTCAACTTTGGGTGGTTGATGATTAGTTCGTAGGTTTAAATTGGTTTTTTACCATTTTTAATCGTGAAAATATTCGGGGATATTAGTGAATATAACGATGATTATAATAGTTAAATATGTTTAAATGGGATTTGAAACCATGAAAATATGGGGATATTAGATGATACTAGTGAATATAACTGGTACATGATGGTTGGTTGATGATTAGTTCGGAGATTATACTACCCTTCATATATTGGGGATTATAATCCAAGAACGGGACACCTCTATAAACCAACCGGTATTTCATGGAATGATTAGTTCGGGATAATAATTTCCGAATGGCAGTGTAAATTGCGCAACACTGCGAACAATTTCTTGGTCGAAATCCTATTAAAAGTAAGATAAACTACTAACCATCATTTTTGTGGTGGGCTATTCTAAAAACCAAAACTGATTTCAGCCATCATGGATTTCAACCATCAATAGTGGTAACGTGGGTATCATATTCGAATCGAACGCGGGGTTTTTTCATCAAATTGGGATTTAACCACGATTTGGAGCGGCAATGGGACAATTTACCAACTTACAGCTGGTTGCTGGTTTCATTATATATATATGATGTATAATTATATATATAGTTATATATACATATATACATGAGTTTCTATACGAACTGGACAATGATCCACCACGACCCAGAATTTTGATTAATCTTTGGATGGGTTGAAACCACCACTTAGTTTTTTTCTTTGTTTATGTCGCATGCCAATCGATTGCTACCCAGGGATTGAATTTTAGCAATGATGGATATGGGAAGGTGCCATTTCCAACGTAGTCGTCCAAAGCTGCCAGTGGGTTCAGTTTGGTTGACATCAGAACCTCACGGCCATAAGGCCATAAGGCCATTTGGAGGTTTCCTGAAATGGGGATACCCTTAAATCATCCATTTTAATAAGATTTTCCATGATAAACCAACCATTTTGGGGATCCCCCATTTATGGTAACCCCCTATATGTATATAAATCACCATTGCATTCTATTTTTCACTATATTGTATATATTTATATTAATCACTAGATAGATAGATATAGATTCCCTTAAATCATCCATTTTAATAGGATTTTCCATTAAAAACCAACCATTATAGAACCCCCCAGTTGATTTTCCCCAAGAAGAAGCAACCTAATATCAAGCCTAATATCAAGCCGAGCCCATGTGGCTTGGATCCATTCATCTCGAGGGCCCAGCGAGGACCCAGGTGGACAGATAGATATGGAGCGGCCAAGTGCCAAGGCAAAAAGCAAGTACCTCAACAGGGGGTGGTTGTGTAAACAACAGCCAAAATGAATGTGCATATATATATATATATGAGTTGTATCAGTATGAGTTGTTGGTGATTGATACTGTAGTCATTGAAGCACAAGAATCCCTAAATTATCCAGATTAAATGTTTTTTGGTGGGCCTTATTGTCACTTGGGTCACCTGAATAAGAGGCGGCAGTTCTGAGCCATATCTGGATTTGCTCCAAGTTGTGCCATTCGCGGTTTATCTTTGGAATGAGGCTGTGGAAGAGAACTGTCTTAACACTAGTACAGTAGTTGGCTATTCTTGTTGGCCCACAATAGTTTCTCAAATACAATATGACAATATGCGCATCCTGATGAGTGCCTGCCGGTATGACTCCTAATGAACCCGCAAACAAGGGATGCACATCCACGACAACTTGAAGGTGAATTAAATTCTGACTTTGAAAGCAACCCTGGAAACGGAAGAGGGGACACCTCCAGTGAACTTATCAAACATATTCAAACATGACTTTCATTGGCTGTGACATGTATAAGTATATATATTTATATGCATTTAAAAATACATGCATATATATATATATATTTAAATAAACATGCATATATACATATATACACATACATATTTACCTATACATATATATATATATATGTATGTATATATATATATAAATGTATATATGTATATATGTATATATATATATATATGTAGCCTATATCATTAGAGGATACCAGAGGGATCCTGAGGGTGGCATCATGTCCGTAAGGTAACAGCGAGCTGGAGTCTATTGATGCCGCGTTTCGAGAAGTTCCTGGGATTGACTATGGTTTCAGGAAGTGAATTTCCATGATGGGCCCCTACCAACAACAATGATTTACTAACATAGCAATAATGACAACTATAGCAATTATATATCATGTATGCCTATATATATATATATATACATACACATATACGTATATATATATATATATGTGCAGGGCTTTGCCTGCTCAGAACTGATTCAACTCCAAGTCTTCGTGGGGTAATCACTCACTTTCTTTAACTTGGCCAAAATTGTTTGCACCTGGGCCACCTGATCTGTTGATTCTGTCGGGGAACCCCTAAATCCACTGATTAATCACAAGCCATGAATTACCATTGAAATAGCATTAATAATTAGCCATTGAATTTGTTCATCATGTAAGTGTCTCATTGAAATAGCCAGGAAACCCGGCATACCGCAGTTTCAGACACACAGGATTAGAACAAGCCTGAATCGCCTGAACGGCGTTCATACTTCACGTCTTTGTCTTCAGGGTTTTAGCATGTTATAGCTATTAATGATGTATATATATATATGTGTGTGTGTGCATTGATTTGTTTATTTGATTTATTGTTTTATTCTATTTATTATATAATAAAGGATAAACCTTAGAGCCGTTTAGCTAAACCTCAAGATCCGTTTAAAACCACGATTTGATGCATTGAGTCCAGGAAATTTCCAGCCCTTCACATGGTGGCATTGACCCTTCAGAAAAGTTCGTCAAATCCCATGATCACTTTCATTCCCCATGTGGGATCGATTTAAAGAAATGAATCACCACCGGCAACTCCAAAAAATCTGGTTGGTGGTTTGGAACCATGGAATTTTATGTTTCCATATATTGGGAATTTCATCATCCCAACTGACGAACTCATATTTTTGAAAGGGGTTGAAACCACCAACCAGAAATGGTTAAATCCCAAGTTTTGTAGTATTTGTTGCTTAAATCCCTATTTTCGAAATCCACTGCCCCCAACTCCTGCAGGAAGACCTGGAGGGCACAGGCGAGCTGACTGCTCTCGAAGTGCCTACGGCCATCCGTTCGCTGGGTTATCAGGCGACCGGAGATCGTCGGACGCTGCCGGTTTTGATGGGTGGATTTGACCGGGAAAATGTGGAGTTACCCTCTGGTTATGACTAACATAGCCATAGAAAATTGCCCATTTATAGATGGTTTACTTACTTATTAAAATTGGTGATTTTCCATGGCTATGTTAAATAACAAGAGGGTAAGACAATCAAAATGGGGAGTTCACCATCAAAAATATCTCCGTCAAAAGATATCTGACTAATTTGGATTTAACAATGAAAATCGCCATTTCATTGGGAAAAGGTTGGAAAATAATTTGATGAACATGTGGATTTAACATGATTAAATAATATTAAATAGGGATTAAACATGATTTAACTCTCAAACTCAGACTTGAAGCACCAACAAATCGACTTGACACGAAGAGGATATGAACAAATTTGATGTCGGCATGAAGAATGAGTTCAAACGCAAACCTTGGGGTCGAAACCAACAAGCTTTGCGATTCGACTGATTGATTAAACAAATATCAACAATGGGGAGATGACCAACTATAATTTGGGAAACAGTGGGTGGTCAACCAAAATATGGCGACATTGGCAAGTAAAACTGTCAATATCGGGTAGTCTTGGGATGCTCAGCATCAAACAAGTTGTTAAATTAAATTAGTTTGAATATATCGGTGTGAAAGTCTAACCTGACTGGACATGTTTTCCATGTGAATTTATTGCATCTGCATACGCGTTTCTCACAGAGAGACAGCATGCGCACATTGAGATATACCAAAGTTTGAGTACACATACATGTTTGCACTTTGCTCATCTTTGCTCCGCACCCTCTGAATTTGACGGAGTTTGTGTTTGTTCATTTAACTGCATGAAGGAACACATCAAATAGTACAGTAGAAATACACGGCGCCACCAGACCTAGTTGGATCGGCTGGCATCCAGAAGATTAGAGGATTGGAGGGCTGATCGCATCAGATATGGACATGCGTAGCATAGCAGACCAAAATATATCTGTTTGTCAAAACGGGATATGTCTACACGTAACAACACTGTACACAGACAAAATGATTTGCCTCTGGGTTATTTTAACATACATTTGGGGCGTTTCAAATGTTATGCAAAACATCAACTACATTGTGATCTAAGTTCCTGCAAGAAATCAGTCATTTGTCACCGCTGTTCCAAGAGCAAAAGTACCTCTGAGCTCGTAATAGGCCCCGTTTTATACTCAAAAAAAATGATTTCTGGACCCCCAAAAACTACTTCGAAAATGAACATCCACATGTGTTTTCCATCGGTTCTTCCACAGCAGCTTCCCCAAGTCCAAGAAGAATTCCAGGGGCGTTAGGCTTTCATTTAAGGCACCACCCGCACATATGGATATACATTGGGGCTGAGCAGTGCGGCAGGATTTACCGATTTACCTTCTTTTCTTTCAAGCAAAATGTGGTGCCGGAGAAAATCTTCAGTCTCAGCCAACTTCTGTCACTGCACTGCGTTCCTGCCACATTCGAACACGCAAATCCACCATGCAGCAACACGTGCGCGTGCAAGTGCAAGGCAGCAAATCTCCATCTTAGCAAAACATGCGTGTGCTACTGTAGTTCGAGTGAATGATATTACACCTCCTACCCCACCCCGAACCACCCCACCTCGCCCCACGCAGCAGCAAAAATGTGCGAAAAGTGTAAATGTGTAAAATGTAAGGGCAAATAAAAACCGTGGTCCAACTAAACTGATAGATGGAAGCACCGAAGCAATTGAGAAGGGCAATAGATTAATGCCAATGTCTAGCTGCAATAGCCTCAAACATCCCTTCCGACCAAGTGCACTTACGCACTGCCCGCGCTGGGTCAGGTGAGTTTCGAGGCAATGCAAAGCGTTTTGCGACAGGTAGACGTTGCTTGGCAGGCAACTGGGGCGTTGACCCCTGATGAGAATCATCGCTTAGATGGGATGGGTTATTGCGAAGGCTAAGTGTATATGCAGTGTATATACCCTACCTGGATGGATTGTAGCCACATCAGCTCAGATTTCTAAGGATGTTTTGCTATTGTTTGCCTTTTTGGGAGTAAATGGGTAAGCATTGTATATCACACAACAACTTTTTCACCACAGGATCAACAGACAACCAGTTGCTGCTGTAGAAAAACCTTGCCCAGTTGCCGCATCCCAGCAGGGAGAGAGATAGACCGACCAAAACAAATGGCAATAATATACGTGGAATAGCCTATACTTATATATGTATATATATATATATTTACACACTTATTTACTGTTTTTTTGAATATATATGTATATATATATATAATATATATATATATACACATCATACACGTGATGATGTGATACAAACATATATACATATACATAGATATATGTACAGTGGTCAAGGAACTATGTACGTGTCAGCACAGCTGGGTGAGGTAACGATTTAACAAGCATTCCAGGATATGTGACAAAGATCATTGATTCCCCAAAAAACAAAAATGCCAGCTACAAAGTGTGAATATGATTGCCGCCAGCAAAGAGGTAGTTTACTGTTCGGGCTTGATTCCTCTACCACTCCACAGGATGAATCAGAATGAGTCTTTTGAATGATGGAATGACTTACATTTTTCTCCAGGCAATTTTGGAGCATCTCACTTGTTCACTGGGGATTTTGGCACACTCCAAACAAAGAAGGCTGAGGACTGCACGTGTATTAAATTTTGGGAATCAGAAAGAATTTTGGATGTACACATGTTCATTTGTTCATTCAGTCATTCAATCAATCTATCTATCTATATATCATTAATATGTGGTTTTTGCTGTTCATTTCTCTAGTGGGATCACCCCATGGTTTGTTTACCTTGCAAAGCTTGCGAACTTGAAACTCACCCTGGCGACATCCCAAGTGGTCCAGCAGGGGGCCAGTTTCATGAGTCCTCATGAGGTTTTTAGCCTTTGGGTGGGCGTTCTGACCAACCAATGTGGGGGGATTCCACGCATGTCCACCGTGTATGTGCTATATATTTGTGTGTATGCGTGTGGTGATTTCCCCCGGGTTAAAGTATCCACCACTCATTACGGTATTGAAAATAGAAGCGGCCAAAACGGGGCTATGATCCATCAATTTTGGATGGTGATTTTTTGATGTTTTTTGTACTTCAAGCGTACCATAAGCCAACCGGGTATACATGTAAATTATATGCTGATATCTTTGTATGGTCATTTGCTGATACATCTATATATATATATGGTGTAATTATATCTTCATTTGCTGATATCTTTGTATGCTGATTGGGCGGGCTGATTAACCAATGATACGATATGAATGAGGGATGGACATCCAGAACCCCCAGTTGTGATGTGAAAAAAAATCAGCGTTTTCCATCGAAACAAAATCCACATCACGACTCTACTTTGATGAAATGTTATCCACGTTTGTTGCCAAGTATCCTTAGGTTCTCCAATATTCTTTGGCATTGGCATTCCCCGTAAATCTTGAGCAGTTTATTGGCATGACACGCACGAGGTGAACGATTCGGGTGGCGTGGATAAGATGCAGTTCCGCAAGGTGGTGCGGATGCTGCAGGACGATGGTCGTGATGGTGGATGTAGCCAGAGATCGGACTTACCCTCTGGTAAACATACAAAAAGCTATTGAAAATGGTGATTTATAGTCAAATGGATTTTCTAAGCCAAAGAAATGGGGGTACCCTCTGATAAACTAACATAACTATGGAAAGATCCACCATTTTCAATGGGTAAATCAACTATTTCTATGGTCATGTTCAATAGCTATGCTAGTTTACCAGAGGGTATGATTTCGTTAAAAATAAAAAGACCAGTCTACCGTATCCCGAAAATAGTTCAAATTGCCATTGAAGAATATGATTGTGATTAACCAATATTCGGATCAATGTTCAGCCCCAAAAGCATCCAAAGACCATGTTGTTGTTGGTGATTTCATTCAAAAGAAAATGCTGGTGGACAGTTTTTTGCTGGAAGGTGACCCCCAGGAGACAGCGTCACCAGGGCAGATTTCTGGGCCCCGCAGTACAGGCTTTGTTTGTTTATTTAACCTTTTACCCTATCTAACTGCAGGGATATCCAGATATCCCCCATAAATCAACTGAATTATACACCAGATTACACCATATAAATCCAATGACTATCTATACCTATCCAGCTATACAGTTATTGGATTATAAACCAGCTGACATTTCGGGGCTCTTCTCGTGGTGAATGTTTTTAGGTGGCCAAGTGCAGGTTTTCTATGGATGTTTGCAGCTTGAAGGGTTGAATCATATGTCCAATGCTGTGAGTTTGCTCCATTTTCCCAGATGAATAAAGTGTTAAATTCCAACAAACCTGCATTCTGCATACTTGACATGTGTCGCATCAAGCATGTCACGACTTTGTTGCAGCACGTCGTTCGTTCCATGAGCTGGCTTGTTACTTGAGTTCATCCCCTTCATGCTTGGGAATCCCCGGGTAACAAGCAGACCCCAAATCACCCAGGTCATCATTAGTTCATTGATGTTCATTGGATATGGCCATTATTCAATTTTAATTATGATATACCCTCTGGTTATGACTAACATAGCCATGGAAATTGGCCCATAGGAATAGATGGTTTACTGAGTATAGATATGTAATTATGATATATCAATATTGCTGTCTTGCACGGGAACTTGGTTCGGCATGGTCATGTTCATGAACCCATGCCTGTTGGAAAAAATATTGTGATGATTATCGGCTTATTAAATTGATTATTGCCATTGGTTTTATAATCATTCTTATTGCTACTATTCCATTGTTACTCCCCTCTTGCCCCATGAATTCATCAACACGCCTTTCTTTCTTCGCCATGATGTTCCCATGATTTCATGGCTATGACAACCCTCTGGTTATGTCAACAGTTTGCGAACTTGAAGCCATGGCCCAGTCGAAATAGTTGATTTACCCAGCTATAAAATGGTGATGTTCCATAGTTATCTTAGTTTACCGGAGGGTAGTCGTGTCAATGATGATCAATATGAAGATCATTGATGAATTATTTGCTGATCGTATTAATCCAATCCCCCCTGTTAGCCATCCATTACACTCCCATGATAATCCCATATTACATCCCATTAAAAAAAAATGATAATCCCATTGAAGCACCATTAAACCACCATTCGAGTCTCATTATTCCTGCAGAAATCCTCACTATTTCATACATATAATATCCCAATAAATCTCCATTATGGGATGTTCAAAACAAGCAGCTCCACCTTCCCTCACCCACTTTGAGACCCAGAGTCCAACACTCACTGGAGGGACATCATCCTTCGTCAAAGAAACAAGGGATTACTCAACAAGTGCATCATGGGTTCAGTGGCAAGTTCCGTGCTCGAGATCTTTTTTAAGAGTCCCACTAAATCCCCATCAAATCCCAGTCAATCCCCATATATTCCCATGAAATTCTATGAGATCCCCATGAAATCCCATGATTTTTCCCGAGGAGTGCGACGCGCAGCTCTTCCTCCAAGCCTTCGACGATGAAGATCTGGCTCGGTTGCAGGCGATCACGTTTCCCAGCGCCATCCAAGCCTTCTGTCCCGTGGCCGTGGCGTTATACCGTTTAAGGTGGGAAAAGTGCTGGGAGATTTCATACGGTATATATGGTGCTGCTTAAATAGTGGTAATTACCCATAATATCACAAATGCCCATGATATGGTGATATAAGAATGGGGGATAAGAATTCAACCATCAAAAATATGTGTTTTAGCCAAGACAAATAGGACTATTATGGAATTGTCGTGATATATCTAGCATACAAATCATGTTGGTCATTAACCGACTTAGCTAACGGAAAGGGCACCGTATATATATCTCTATTTATCTATCTACCTATCTATCTATCTACCTATCTATCTATCTATCTATCTGTCTATCTATCTATCTATATATATATATATATCTATCTGTCTATCTATCTATCTGTCTATCTATCTATCTATCTATCTATCTATCTATCTGTCCATTTCCTTTTTATCTATTTATCTATTTATCTATCTATATATCCATCTAATTATCTATCTTTCTTTCTCACTCTCTATCTCTCTTTTTATCTAAGTATTTGTCTATCTATCTACCTACCTACCTATCTATCTACCTACCTATCTTGCATCCATCTACCTACCTATCTTGCATCCATCTATCTATATACATTTTAAAACCCAGTCATTGTAGCCATTTTTTTGAGTAACTGCTGGGGCTGAGGCACTACTGGCCTCCAGTCCCAAAGTTTGGACCTGCCGGAGTTCAACGATGATGGCTCCTGGGATTTCCTTTCTATCGCCGCCGGTGGGGCGAGTTTGCACTTGGCGTTGAAGACCGTAATGGCGTAATGGATGGTTTAATGGGTGAAAATCCTATTAATTAACCTTCATTTGGTACAGAAAAATGTTTACCACTTTATTTCTGCTCAGTTCAATTTCTTCGGCTCGTTTCCTGTGTCCCCCAAAAAATGTGCTCGAGATTCTTGTGTGCCAACGAAGGTCTGGTATAGGCATTGTCATACAATATATAGATGGAACATATTGTATGCCATGTACACATATAACAGACATGTATGCCAAAAAACCTCTTAAAGTATATGGTCGTTTCCATGTCTTTTCATGTGGATGCATGATCGATAGATGCTTGTGTCCGAGAAGTGCTGCAGTGTCATGGATGTCATCAGCTTCCATTCATGGAGTTCATGATTGGTTCATGCATGCAATTCATGCATGATAATCACCAAAATGTCATGCGATGCAATGATGGACTTTGCGGTTCCATCCACGTGATATGAAGCAAAGCAAAGTTGTCAAAAAGTTGCTAAAGCAAGACATCCAATTGAACAGGTTTTGATTTCGCGCTCGTTTGCGGATTTTTGCGTTTGTTTCACGGAAATTTGCGCCCGTTTCGCGCGACCACCGTTCCACTTTTCCAGTTTCACGCACGGGAGTTGCAAGTTAGCAACAAGCAGCCATCCAGTACAAGGTCATGATGGTTCAGCTATACTTACCGACGAACCATCGAATTGTAAACTTCCACCAATGAAGGGTCTGCACATGTTTGCATCAGCTCATCTGGGAAGACCCTTTATGATTGCTTGACATGAGTCAGGGACTCTCGTTTGGGGATGATCCAGGATGTATGTATACACACATATCTTATCACGTCAGCGTCAGCCTATGCATCTTTCAAGGGCATGTTGGTAAACAATTCCTCGTCAGAAAACTTGAACTGTAAACCCAACATGTCTCACACAGCGCTTTCAACACCAAAACAATTCCAAAGGAGCAAACCGGCGAACAAATGAAAAATCATGAGCCTAGAGAAAAAGTTAAAAGGTGCTCGATTTTTTGGTTATCTCTATTTTCTGCTCGTTTGCATTTTTTGCGCATTGAACACATTTTTCTGTACCAAAGGAAGGTCTAGGGCATGATGATTTAGAGGTACCCCCATTTTAGGAAACCTCCATATATATATATATATATATCTATCTATAGTATTTTAATAGGTGTGATCGAACAACGGGTGAAGCATCATTTGCGTGCGCGCGACGACATGGATTCCAGTCATCTTTGTTCCAAATACGTGGCAATTTCCAGTTTCCACCAACTGAAAAGGAAGCGTTTCCTCAACATCACTGCAAGATTCTGGTACATATATATATATATATATGATATATATATATATAGAGAGAGAGAGAGTTGCGTTGGGATTTGGATGAGTATACCATCTTGAATTCGAAATTGTCGCTGTTTCTTCGGGTCCTGCTTCTCGCTCAACCAGGGGTCCCAGGGGTCTAGTAGTTTGGGGTTGCCGCTATTTTCACCCAACCCAAGCATCCCAACATCCCAAACTTCCCAAACACAAACATCCCAAACATCCCAAACATAAATAAAGAAACTCGTGATGAATGAACATGACCATTTCCAACAAGAAAGCAAACCTCGTTTTTCCAATTTCGTAGGATCTACTTGTAGGGGGTTGCCTCAAGATTTCAGGGGCCAACCCTTGTTTCTGCCATCCTTGAATTGGTTGAATGCGACATTTTGCCGGGAACTTCCAGGCTTTTTGTTTCATGGCAACATCCATGTTTTTTTCTAAATTGCCCCTCTAAAATCATGTAAAACACCTGGGTTTCCAATAAGTCTTCCCATGTTTCCCAGGGTTTCCACTGCATTGATGCGCCAGTGCATCGACCAATGAGGCATGCTGGTGCGTCGCGACGACTTCGTGAGGTCCTGTGCGGCGCACGCGCATCAGGCCCACCACCCTATGGTGTTGTACATGTTTAAGTTTGAATACACACACATATATATATATATAATATACATATGTGGATAATTTTCATTCATGTGTTTGCGCATATTTTGCCGAGAGTTATTTGAGGGACTTCATTGTGCTTGAGTTTATTGCGTTTTCTGAGTCTTGATTTATGTGTTTAGTTTTCTCTACTCAATGTGACTTTCCTCATTCGCAATAAAATTCTACGCTTGTAATTTGTCACGCAGGAAGACGTCCAGTATACACATGTATTGATTTTGCTTACGTTTAGCTTCAACGAGTTTGCATCGTGTTTTGTGTCCTTTGCTTGCATTTGCATCACATTCCATAATTATGGGTTTTGTCTGAATAGGGTGCCCTCAAACCAGTGGTTGTATAATCAGTATATATAATTTATATAATCATCATTTTCCAATTGAATTTGCCATAGATTGGGAAGTATACGGACCATTGTCAGACAAACCAGAAATATCATATCAAGCTGCTTATATGCCCCATGAAGCATTTCCATTATTCTTTCCCGATTGTGGTTGGCTATTCGTTTAAAATCCTCAATTGTCAGACAAACCCACTTCCAGTATCCACTAGAAGAATCATGTGTTTGATGTTCAATATCCCCCATTGTGGTATTCAACCGCATGAAAGGAACAATATTGAGACAAACCCAAATAGAATATTGTTGTTTTCATAACACATAATATGTCGCCAAGGTATTTATCTACATCCCTGTTTGCCTGCCTATCTGAGTTTAATATTTGTCTATCTCTCTATCTATCTATTTGTTTGTCTGTCTATTTGTTTGATGGTTTGCCTGTCTGTCTATCTATCTATCTATCTACCTATCTATCTGTTTGTCTATCTATCTATCTATCTATCTACCTAATCTACCTATCTATTTATCGATCGATCGATCGATCTATCTATCTATCTATCTATTTTGTTAGTCTATCTGTTTTGTTGTTTGTTTGTCATTGTTTGTCTATCTGTTTGTCAGTCTGTTAGTCGGGCAGTCTGTCTGCCTGTCTATCTGTCTCCTATCTTATCCTTTTTTCGGATCTTTTCCAAACTTGTCTGATCTATCCGATTTGTTCGATCTTACTTGTTCTTTTCGTCTAAAACATTTTACTATATATTTATATTCTCGTTATCTTTATATTTATTGTTAATGGTATTTTTTTGTATATTTATCCTCTCTTCTCTGATCTACCTCTCTATCGTATCTATCTTATCTATCTTATCTTATCTTACCTTATCTTATCCTATCCTATCTTATCTCATCTTATCTATCTATCTATCTATCTATCTTTCTATCTATCTATCTATCTATCTATTTATCTATATTTCTTTCTTTTTCTATCTTTCTATATTTCTATCTTTACACATTTCTTGATTTCTATATATTTATATGTTTTTCTACATCTATCTATATCTATCTATATGTATCTATATCTATCTATATATATATATATATCTATATTTCTGTATCTATCTATATCTGTCTATATCTTGATCTATGAGTCTATATCTATCTCTACCTCTATCTCTATCTCAATCTCTATCTCTATCTCTATCTATTTGTCTATCTACCTATCCATCTATCTATTTGTCTATCTATCTATGTGTCTATCTATCTACGCTGTCTATCTATCTACGTTGTCTATCTATCTATCTATCTCTCTACCTATCTATCTGTCCATCTATCTATCTATCTATCTATCTATCTTTCTACCTACCTACCTACCTACCTACCTACCTAATCTATCTACCTACCTATCTATCTATCTACCTATCTATCTATCTTTCTTTCTATCCTATCTATCCTATCTATCCTATCTATCCTATCTATCCTATCTATCCTATCGATCCTATCTATCCTATCTATCCTATCTATCCTATCTATCTATCTATCTATCCTATCTATCTATCCTATCTATCCTATCTATCCTATCTATCTATCTATATCTATCTATCTATCTATCTATCTATATCTATCTATCTATCTATCTATCTATCTATCATATCTATCTATCTATCATATCTATCTATCTATCTATCTATCTATCTATCTATCTATCTATCTATCTATCTATCTATCCCTATCTATCCTATCTATCCTATCTATCCTATCTATCCTATCTATCCTATCTATCCTATCTATCCTATCTATCCTATCCTATCCTATCTATCCTATCTATCCTATCTATCCTATCTATCCTATCTATCCTATCTATCCTATCTATCCTATCTATCCTATCTATCCTATCTATCCTATCTATCCTATCTATCCTATCTATCCTATCTATCCTATCTATCCTATCTATCCTATCTATCCTATCTATCCTATCTATCCTATCTATCCTATCTATCCTATCTATCCTATCTATCCTATCTATCCTATCTATCCTATCTGTCCTATCTATCCTATCTATCCTATCTATCCTATCTATCCTATCTATCCTATCTATCCTATCTATCCTATCTATCCTATCTATCTATCCTATCTATCTATCCTATCTATCTATCCTATCCTATTTATCTTTCCTATTTATCTATCCTATTTATCTATCCTATCTATCTATCCTGTCTATCTATCCTGTCTATCTATCCCATCTATCTATTCTATCTATCTATCTATCCTATCTATCTATCCTATATATCTATCCTCTCTATCCTATCTATCTATCCGATCTATCTATCTATTATCTATCTATCTATCTATCTACCTATCTATCTATCTATCTATCTATTTATCTTTCTTATCTATCTTATCTATCTTATCTATCTTATCTCTCTTATCTCTCTTATCTCTCTTTTCTCTCTGTCTCTATCGATATCGATATATATATATATATTATCTATTGTTCTTTCTATGTACACCCAGGATCTCCCCATTTCTTGCCCCATTTTGGTTGCTTCAGTCCTCGCTTGTCAGGTGCGTGAAGCCATCAAGCGAAATGGTGGATGGACAGATCCCGAGCCTGGGCAGCCTGGGAGTGCTGTTCTGTAAGTGGATTGTTTTAGATATTGCTACCCTCTGGCAATTTGACATAGCTATGGAACATCACCAGTTTTAATGGGTACCATCTGGTTATTTAACATAGCCATGGAAAATCAACCCATTTTTAATGGGCCATCTATTTCTATGGGCCATCTATACCATGGCTATGTTAAATAACCAGAGGGTAAATGGGATATAAGCCATATTTAATATGACCCGTAATATGACTCATGAACCTTATGGATAATATTAATATACGTAGTATATTAATAGATTCCATATGCGATATAGAATGGCAACATCGGATTAATCAACCCCCCCCCCAGGTAGGTAGGTAGGTAGGTACCTTCTGGCTAGTTTTCTTGACCACCCCTTAATAATAAGCAACTCTGAACCATAAAAATTTGGATATGGGTTGAGTCAATAAGATCATCATAGAATTCTATTTGATTTCATAAGATTTGATACTCAAAACCTCATGAATCTCATCAGATCCCATTGGATTTGATAAGATTTGATACTTAAAATTTCATGAATCTCATCAGATTCCATTGGATTTGATGAGATTTCATTGTTAAAATCTCATAAATCCCATCAGATCCCATTGGATTTCATAAGGTTTAAGTCCTAAAACCCCATGAACCCCATCAGATCCCATTGGATTTCACAAGGTTTAAGTCCTAAAACCCCATGAATCCCATCAGATCCCATTGGATTTCATAAGATTTGATAATTAAAATTTCATGAATATCATCAGATCCCATTGCGTTTCATAAGGTTTAAGTCATAAAACCCCATGAATCCCATCAGATCCCATTGGATTTCATAAGATTTGGTACTTAAAATCTCATGAATATCATCAGAACCCATTGGATTTCATTAGGTTGGCATTAATTACCTGCAGCTATTTTGGCTCATTTTTCAGCTTTAGGAGAAAAGATTTGCTTGCTAAAATCTCACATTTCAGCATGGGATGGCAGTGATGGCATTACCTGCAGCTATTTTGGCTCGTTTTCAGCCTTAGGAAAGGAGATTTGCTTGCTAAAATCTCACTTTGCAGCACTGCTGGTTGATTAATTAGGTCCAGGCTTGTCCAGATTCCTATGAGGGAAGAGTGAGGAAACCACCATGCAGGAAACCTGTCCAGGGTGATGATTTTTATCAAGAATTTTGGATTAAAAAAAATGATTTCAGCACAGGGGGTTGCTTAATCATGTCCCAGCCAAACGGTTTATTAATCCTGGGGGACCACCTTTCTTTAAATTACAAAAATGATTACTGTAATGGGATTATTAATCCTAACTTGACATTAATATGAACCTTATGAACCTTATGAGATATTTAATATAATTTAATATGATCCTTGAATATTTATACCCCTTAATCTGACCAGTGATATCACAATCGTTGGACTGGGAGATCCCCAGATTTTTTGGGCCATTTTATAAACCACCGACCCTAAGTGGATGCAGATCCAAATCGGCAGGTGATAGTCTTGGCGTTCGCTCGTATACAATTATCATGGTGATAGTCTTAGTGATCGGTAATTTATAGTGTATTAATTTATAGTAATATAGTGATCTTATACAATTAGTGTATTAAATACAAATTATAATCTGATGGAGATAATTTAATACAATTATCATGGCAATTATTTGCTTAGTTAGACAATTATTATGCACTGTATAGCACATAATTTAATACAATTAACCTGGTAATTATCTGCTTATTGATGATTTTTACCAGCGCATTTTTTATGCACTGCATGGATGAAAAAGACACCCTCTTATTCTTTCCTAAATATTTGGTAGTACATGGATTCATCGTATATCACACAAAAGTTAAACGTTTAGCAAGGGAACTACAAGAAGTCCTGCAAAACTCTTTGGAATATGGGGTACCAACCAACATTTCTAATTGGTATCAGCTACCCTCGCATAAACTAACATAGCTATGGAACATGTTATATATGATAGATGATTTACCTATTAAATTTTTTTGATGTTCCATAGCTCTGTTACTTTGGAGGGCAATCAATTTTCAGTGATGACCTCACCAAGACCCGTTGCCCAAATGGGACACCATGGTAATCATACAGAATCATACATGACAATGGGCGATTCCCAGGCGTCTCTGTATGGATCCCAGGCGGGGACGACCAGAAATCAGGTCCTTCAGAAATGGGGTGATTTCTTCGACGACAACGTTTTGAATGGGAAACTTGTGGGTACCAAACTTTGAGACATGCAAACAATGACCCCTTGTTTTCTTAAAAACAACAAACTTGTGACAGAGAGGTCATTCAGTTGTTGATGTTTTCTCGATGCCTCAACTGTCATGGTTGTGAGGGTTACTGACTTACTAACCTGGCTTCATCTCACCATACGTTTTCATCATGTCCCCGTTTGAAAATGATTACGACTCCATGTGATTGATAATGATGTTTCCATGTTGTTGATTGACCCCTCCTTTGCCACTGGTCGTTATGATTGATCAAGGCTCCATAGTTTGAGTGATATCAGATTCTTGATGATATTTCATGTTTCTTGATTACCATCCCATAATCAAACGTGGTTTGAAGGAATATCCCCCATGTATAGATTATTTTCCTGTCAAAGCTTCCATGATGTTTTCCTGTGAAAACTTCCATTATAGAATAGGGTATTTTCCATTGCCAGGTTCGATGGATGGTAGATACAAGTAGCGTTTTTGGTTTTCAGATCTCCCCATGCCATCCCGATATTTGCCAACCAGATCACATATCAGCAGTACGCCCAGGAAGTGAATTACTTGAAGCTCTTCTTCCGAAAGTATGATCTGGACAGGAACGGACGGACACCTGGCATCATTTGCTGCTGAAAGAAGGTGGTGGCCCAGCAGTTTAAATCTCCTTTGGTTGGGTTATTAACGACCCATCTAGAATCTAGTATATATATATATAGTGATATACATATATCAAAATAGATGTATCAAAATAGATGTATCACACAAACACTGCTAATTGCCTTGTAAGTATACTAAGGAAAGTCTGTAGGATGTTTTTTTCTGCACTGTGTCTTGATTTCGACTGGGGGAGTTAGCGCCTGCGCTGTGACATTCTTTGCAAAAGATGCCATGGGAGCGCTAATCCCAGAGTTGAAGTTCCTTGAACACAAGTCGTTCTTGGGGTCCAAAGATGGTATTCCGTCAGATGGCTTTGAAGCTCTGGTGCAGGGCAGGAACAAATCTAGACTCTGCATGCTGTGTTTATCTTGGCGAAGTGGGAAAAATCACCGGACTCCAAGTGATCGTCGGTTGCTGAAACCTCACATAGAAACTTTCCGATAGGGAGACCATGGGATTTCCGCCGTGACGTTAGGCTTTAGCCATTTACCAGAAAGGGTACATAAGTGGGTTAATGGTGGTTAATGATGGTTAATGGTGGTTAGTGGTGAAGAATGGTTAATAACCACCAACCATATATATATATATATATATATATATACCCAGATTGATTCGCAATTGGACATTTGGCGCTATTCGTATCAGGATCAACAAGAAGGAGCTGGTTCAGTTGGTCACTGCGCTGCAAATTTCATGGGGCAAATATGTTTGTTTGAAAAAATGATTGAGTAGGTTCATGGGTTTTCTGTTTTGTGAATGGAGGTATGCACTAACTAGGGTATCTAAGATGCCATTTGAATGAGAGTCTATGAAAGATACTGATCATTTGCTTGCTCATTTGCTTACATTCGCTTTCCGAACGCAGTTGAATTAGATCCCATCAGCGCAGAGTTGCTGCTCTTCGTTGCATGAAAACTTGTGGATTCAGGGACCATGGCACAGTTCGTCAGTTCGTCAAGGCATCCCTTTGCACATCATTGATAATGTCAACCCCAGATTAATAAACCACGGTTTATTAATTAGGGGATACTCCCCAAATAGTCATAATCTGATACTTAAATGGTATCCCCCCCAATTAAACAACCTAGGGGTTTATTAATCCAGGGTTGACATTATTTGTTTAATCATCCCAATCTGAAACTGATTAGCAAGAATGTGGGATACAGTAATCAGTTTCTCATGTTTGCTCTTTTATGTTGGACAATGAGCTTCGCAAAAACTATTAGTGAGTATTTCAAAAGAAAGTATGCTGATCCCACATTAGAAAGGAAACGTGGGACAATCTCTGCAATGAACCATGTTTCGAAGCCACTTCCAAATCCTTTGCAGGACAATACCATTCAAAATTCAGAATTTATGTAATGAAAATCCGGGTTGCTGCAAGCTATTGTAGGTAAACAATTGCTGGTTGGTGGTTTGGAACATGTTTTATTTTTCATAATATATGGGATAATCACCCCAACTGACGAACTCCATCATTTTTCAGAGGGGTAGGTATACCACCAACCAGTAAACAATTGCCAATATGATTATCCATCATTAACCACTATTAACCACTATTAACTATTATTAGCCATTGCTCATTGCTCATTGCTCATGTGTAAACCCCAAACACCTACCAGCACCTGGTGAGATGGATGAGGGAATGGGTGGCGCGCTACCTCCAATTGGAATTGGCAGGTCGTTGCCACGCATTATTTATTCCCGCAGCGCCAAAGCTACACGTCGCATCACCAAGCCCACATAGCGGATACGGGCTGTGTCCACTTGGACCCCAGCCGAGGAATGGAATAGGCACATAAGGAATGTGGGTGTAGGTACAGTTCTTGAATGAAATCCACAATCCCTGAGCGCAAAAACAATTGCAACGTACCCCGACAAGCTTTGAGAACATGGGTAACCGAAACATTGCGCGTGGCACACAATGGGCAGCTAGTCAGGATCTCCGTACCTACCAGATCAGGAAAGTTCCAAAGAGGCCATCGCCCCGTCAGCTTAATGAACGCCCACTCTTCATGGCCAAATGCAACTTCTAAAACATTCCACCCTTGCACAAGCCTGTTGGGGCAGAAATCCCTGACGCTACACTGAAAAGCAGACAGCCACTTGCTTGCAGCTTCATCATACTCAGCATTGTCGTGAGCCTGAAGTATCGGCAAAACTACTTTGGTTTTGTACATCTGCAAAATTTGCTTCCTTTGTGCAGTTATGACTCCTGAAACATGAGGAGATGGAAGGATACCAGATTCCACTAGGGACGGAATAGGCAAAGGTTGATAGGCTGCCATCATATCCGCCAACGCTCGCCACCAAGTATGCCCAGCCGTGCGCTGGGCAAATCGCAACATGAGAAGTGTGGGGTGGTAGGAGGGTAGTAGTTCAATCTTTGCCAAGAACATTACTGCACGTAAAATTGCCTTAGTTGCCAACCTCAATCTCCATCCACAAACAGCAACCGCCAGTGGCCCCCGCAAATCACGGCTCCTACACTTCAAAATCTTTTTAGCCCAAAAATCCTGGAGCGAATTGAGTTGCTTGTAAAAGGATGGCACCAAAGGCCAAATCTCGGCAGCAAACAAAATTACAGGTTCTATCCTTTGCACAATTGCTTCAGCCACAATAGGTGCAGGAAAGTGGGCATGAGAGGCAGCATTGAACAGTTCATAAAACAACACTTTTCCTACCCTGAGGACGTGGCTACTTCGTTTAGTGAAATCTAAGAATTCATCGAACTGTACTCCAAGCAACTTGTAGTCACTGCACAACACTGTTGAGATCTGGTCACTTGCTGCTCCAAACATCGGCAGCACCGCCGTTTTTGTTGGCCCAAAGTTGAATTCCACCTGAAACATATTTTCATACCTTTGTAAACCTAGGTGAACAGCCTGATTGACAGCAGTTTGGGATGGGAACACCGCCACAATGTCATCAACAAACATTAACGCGCCTAGCGGGACACTTCCACACGCTTCCATCAACTCAATCCGATCATCTTTGTCAGCGATGGTAGCCAATGTGTAAATTGCTTGGCGCCGTGCCTGTTCCGGCGCTACACTCATTAACAACCTGATACCTTCTGGCGAATTCCAGTTGCAACAACCTGGGGTCAGATCATGGACTTGCGGTGGCGGTGTAAATCTGGCCCATACGGCGGAAATTGCATCAGAGGCAAAGTCTGGAAGAATAGTTTTCGCAGGATTACAACACAAATTGAGCAAGTCTCTCAAAAAAGTCATGACAGATGTGAAGACATGCACCCCGAACTTTCGTCCCTGTGGTATGCCAGCCCCAAATTTCAATGCTGACGAAATCATTCCTTGCAATGATATTACCGCTGAATCCATCCGGAAAAAATCAAAGAGTAGCATCCATTCTGTTTCAACAATTCCAGCGGAGTAGCATGCTACCAACATTGCTTCCCTGGACGCACTATCATAGGCATGCTTGAGATCTGCAAATAGTACGTAAGAATCCAGGCCCTGGAACTGTCTGAGTTGAAGATGCAAAATAACTGCAACCACTACTGCCATCACATCCCATTTACCTCCCATTTGCGATGGACCTGAGAACCTTTCTAATAAGTCTTGACACCTCAAGAGCCATAGCCCATCTTGCGCACTAGCCATGTCAGTACCCTGGCTAATAGGTCGGAGGTTGATGACTTTTCGAACCAGTCTAGGGCCAGCCTTTCTCAAAGGCGTGATTTTTCTAGAGCACCAGAAAGAGGACGTGATTTGCCCCAACCTCCCCAAGTTAACCAAAGCCCTGGTCAATTCCCGGAACGTACTTGCTTCTGCCTTTAAAGCAGCTAGTGGTCCATTCATAGAGCCTTTCTTCTTTTTAATATTGGCCAAGACCTGCCTCAGTTCGTGTTGGGCATACAGCGCATCATTGTGAGCAGTGTTCCACGGGGGGACAGGCAGTCCTGGGATACCAATCCTAGGGGCGCCAGCCCGATAGATATCGTTACTCAGGCTGACTATTTGGTAGTAAGCTGAATTCACTTCCGGCTGATTCTTGTCTGCTCGCTCTGTGAGGCTAGCACCAATTGCAGCCAAGGACTCCTGAATTGACATCAAAACTTGAGTATCTTCATGCGTAAGGGCAACTTCGAAGGAGCTTTCTTGTTTAAACCAACTGGAAAGAAAGTGCGCAGCCTGTCCCGGATCCTCATTTTTCAAATGTGCATATTTTCTAAACAGATTTAAATTCGTTTCATGGTGCAATTCTTGGAGAGCTAACTTATAGTCCTCATAGCACTCAAAGTCGCCAGGGGTGGGGATAGTTGTGGGCCACCGTTTCTGCGTGCCCCGGGGACCCTTGCGAGCCCGTACCATACTTGATGAATGTCCTATTAAGCAAATCACAGCGTTACGCAGCCATGCTGCAGCATCTAGAACATCTCGCCTCCTTTTAAGTGAAAGGCACCCTGTAGAGACTTCTTCGCACGCACTTAGCGTAGCATCAAGTAACTGCTGGAAAATTGGTTCAGCATCATTTATTGCCGCAGTCCACTCGGAAGTTCTGAGCCATTCAACCCTACCAATTGAATTCTTGTAGGTGGCTTTGAATGTAACCGAGCAAGTGACTGTGACCAGCTCATGATCCGACAATCCCACTGGCGTCTGGCAAACAGACACCTCGATGGGTGCAGAAAGGCTAGCCAACACCAAGTCAATGATTGTACCACTGCTGTGTGTAGGTATGGCAGGGTTGTAAGCTACCAACCCAGCAGCTTGGATAAGCGCACCAATGTCACGATCCATTTTGGTCGGTCTACAGTGTAAACACCTGCACCCCGCATTATGGCCCACAAGCCCAGAGAGGTGGACATTGCCATCCCCTAAGATGAGGATGAGCGCATGTGGGAAGCGTGCTTTTAGAATACCAAACTCCGTGAGAATTTGCTGCCAGCATTCCAAATCTCCCCCTGGTCGCGGGTAGATACCTCCAATAATTAACGCAGGAGTTTCAGTGTTAACATCTTGG